TCGCGTCTACCCCTGCCTTTTGAGCTCCAATCTTGAGGAGCAGGGCGCTATCGCGCACTTGGCGGTACAAAAGGAAACAAGAGATTCCAAAATAACATCTAGAAATCCAATATACAATTTGGCAGTGAAAGAAACCTGGCGGGTCCTTTCAACACCTGCTCGAGATCCGGCACCTTTGCTCTGTTCTTCAAACATCCGATATTTCGCTTGCGAAAAGTGCAAAAATAAAGGATGTAAGTGAAATACCAGGTTTTTCCCTGGAAAACCTTTATTTTTCCAAAACTTGCCCAAAAATCAGGTTTTCCCATTTGACCCTTTAAAATTAAAGGATTTTCGCTTAGAGGGATTAATTTATATAGAAAATTATGTTAAATATAATTAAATTTATATAATATATTTGATTTTTTAATTATATTCTTTAAAAAAATGGTATGGTTTCGAGGTCGCATTTGTTGTCTGTTGGTAAGTCATTGTAGCGGTTTTCGGTTGAATTGCTATGTTTGAGGCGAGTGGTTATAATCGGTTTGTTTTTTTCCTTTTGGATGTAAATTATCGTTTTTTTGCGTAGAAAGCCCCGAAATTTCGGGAGATTAGAATTTTCGGTCAAATTCGCCCCAATTTTGGATCGCTTCCGACGATATAACTCTTGGGTTTTTGAGTGTTACCCCCGCAAAATTATTCCGAATTTCACGAAAATTTCGTATCTTTCTATTTCTCTTTATATGTCCTAGTCTATTTCCTTGTGTTCATATTCATCCATTTCTAATTTTTGATTTTCTTTATCTATTTTTATATATCTTTATGGATCTTAATTTGTGTTTTTTGGTATTTGTGCCTCTCTGTCTCTATTTATCTGTCTAATTCTCTCTTTCTCTCGGTTTCTATCCCTTTATCTCTTTTTCTTTCTATGTGCCCGTGTCTTTTTTTCCTCTCTCTTTCTTTGGGTCTTTTTGTGTCTCTCTGTTTATTTCCGTCTGATCGCATCTGTGTATTTGGTATTGGGTATCTATCTCTGTCTTTGCTTGTATTTTTTTGTCTGTTCATGTTTGTTTATGCGGGTCTTCCTGTTATTCTGTCTTTCTTTTCGTTTCTAATTAATTTAACCATTATTTTGTTTGCCTGCTTGTCTCTTTCTCTCTCTCTCTTTCTTTTTTTCTTTCTCTTTGTTTCTTTGTTTCTCTCTTTCTTTCGTTCTCTCTCTTTTTATTTCTCTTTCTTCTTATTTGTTTATTCTATTTTCCTCTCTCTTTTTTTTCTCTTTCTTTCTATTTCTCTTTTTCTTTTTCTCTTTGTTGTTTTTTCTCTATGGTTTTTGTTTTTTTTGTTTTATTTTTCTTATTAGTTCTTTCCCTTTCGTTTTTGTTTGTTGTGTTCCTCTTCTTTCTTATTTCTTGAATTTGTCATTTTTTCTTTCTTTCTTAGTATTTATATTTGTTCAATTATAATCTAAATTCGATTATGTCAATTAAAACCAAAAAATATTATAATACATTATTAATTTTAATAATTTTATATTTTATATTAATAAAATTATTTACATTATAATAATTAAATACACATTCAACTATTTTTATTTAATATAATATACTATATTAATATATAATATAAAAAAATAATTCTAATTAAATAATTAATTATAATATTATAATATATCTACTAACAATATATTTTTTCAATTGTAGTTAATCCTAATAAAATTAAATCTAAATTACAAAATATCTTTACATTTATTATTTTATAATTTGTGAAATGTTTCAATAATATTCTTCCTACAATTTTATTTATTATTCAATTCCACATAACCAAGCACACCACCTAATCATAACCATCTAACAATTATCTAAAAAATCTAAATATCAAATTTTAACATACTACTACCAAACAAACATATAATATAATATATATATATATATATATAAACCACAATATATAATATCATATAAATAATTTCATGGACTTTTTAGGAAATTCCCATTATTTAAGAACAAACAACATATTCACATCAAAGACAATTCCGTATTATGTGTATTGCCTTAATTTAGGTTGATAGTCAGATTGCATATTGCAATATCGTGTTGTTGTTTTTTTGCACTTGCGCAACACGCGCATCAGCCAGTGCATTTTGCACGGGGCGTGAAGGTGCATACACGGAAGCTCTCAGCGTATTCAGAATCGCCACCTGACAGCACCCAGCTGACAAAAAGCCAGACTCTCCCTCAAACAAAAGCCACTGACAGCGAACGTCCGAATGAACTCCTAAAACTAACAATTTCAGGCGGAGCTTGGATATGAGCGGAAACTGCCACTGAGATGTGCTTTTTGTTGCGCCCACAAAGCTATGGGTGTCGCTGGCCTGGACACTTCCACGAACTTGTAGAACGTCATCATCTGAAGCGGAGCACCCGGGACATATCTAGGATACTGCGCGACGCTGCCCCCCCCCTCTAGTAGTAGAGAGGGGGGGCGCAGCGTCGCGTAATAGTATGTTGTATATATATATATATATGCACATATATATAGATATATATATATATATCCACAGGAATTGCGTGCGTGATGCTTGCATGAATACCAGCGCAACGGGAACAAAAGCTGTTCATCAGGTTCCTTCATTCAGCCAGGAAGTGGAGCACGTGACACATGTCTGTGTAACAAGGTTCCCACAAGATGCGTACATTCAAAACTTGTTTCACAGGGCCTCGAATGATCTGCATGCCTCTTCTGAGGGCACCCCCTTTCCTTTTCGTTTTGCAGGGACGCCGAAAAAACGAACCGGTGCCGACTGTACGCGACCCGCGAGCATTGAGAGCAGCGCCATGAACAGCGAGCCCATTCCAAACCTCAGAGCCGAAGGATTCTGCGGATGGCTGGCGAAATCCATGTCGCACCTGAGAAGCCGTATAGAATGCTCCGATTCCCCAAGGTAAATACCCACATGATTCCCCTGCAAATACCAACAAACCCTGGTTCCAACCATGGTTTTAACGTGCAAGATTTCGCAACCATGGGATCTCAACGACCTCTCAGAACCATGGGATTGGTCTTTCCTGAGATTCGAAGCCAACATGGTCGTGGTGTCCGTTGGAGAATAAAAACCGACCAAACACGGGCGCCACACACCAACATGAGCGTGCTGTGGATGGACAAAAAATGAGCTCCGTATCAGCTGGATCCCAGTATTTCATGTGTCGCTACTAATGCAATATGTTGTCCATCTACAGTTTGAGGATCCATGCGAACTCAACCCGCACTAAGCGTCCGGCCACTGCATTGCGTAGTTGAAGTGCGTGTGTTCATCTGCCCAAAATAAGAGGTAATCCTGTGCAGCGGATGGCTCCCTCGCTCTCCTCCATTCGCAAAGATTTCAACTAGGCAACACCCCGCCCTCAAACGACAATGTGTTGAGGAAACTAGTCTTCCTCGTTCCTCCAGGCTGTCTTGTAGGCTGGCGTGTAGCCATTCCCTTGGCCAGTCACATACAACTGAAACTTTGTCACCTGGTGATGACACTACAAATATCATCTGCTTGCCAGGCGCAAACTGTTTGTCTGACTCATGAGCAGGTCCCCGAACACATTGGCGAAGAAGAATTGGAACCCGTTTCTCAGTTACAACCTAAAAATGCATGGACCAACATGGGGAAACTAAGAGATCAAAACGTCGATTCGCTTCGGGCAGGTGAGGTTTGGGCTGAGCATGTTCAATAGCGAACCTGCCAAAGAAGGGAAGCAAGTGCCACTGAACTGCGTTGAGAAAAAAACAAACAAACACCATATCCCATGTGACAAACTCAGAACAGAGTATATGGCATGTTTCTTTGGGGACTCTGTGGTCATGGGAATTTCTGTCCATCCCATGTGTTGAGGCAGTTTAAACCATGGATCTCATGAGATGCTCAAAATTTGGAGAACCCCCGAGGGTGCCAAAAACTAGCCCAAAAACATGCCCAAAAAACATGCCGGCCTCCTTGTGTTTCATGGTGTATGGCAGGCTTCGCCGGACACCCGCTCTGAAGTCGTCCTGGCCATTCCGAATTCCCCACTTTCACAGGGCAAGGGCAATGTGCAGGTCTGAATGCCAAGGAAACACATGTTACAGTGGATGCCCTAAATTTGGCAAGTAAACCAACCATAACCAAACCACAAAAACCATGAGGAAACTGCGGCAAACCAGGGAATCTCCTTGTTCCCCTACTTGCAACACTTAGGGCATCCACGGCAGAAACTTTTGGCCCAGTGACAAACCCCCCTAGGCGGAAAGAACTGTAGGTCAAGCTGGGCCTAGACTGATGCTGCAACCCTTGGCATTCAGATGCATTTGGAGCTGGGATAATATGATGTGAGAGAAGAAAGAGATGGCCCTTCCTCATCCTATTTTTCCTTCCATCCCTGTCGTGTGGAAGGGAAGAAGGAGAGTGGCCAAACTCATCTTCATCTGATAGACATTACTTGATTTATGGATAGGCTTGGGTCTCTCGAAACCATCATCTCTCCCATAGAGATTTCAATAGTCGAAAGGAATGGATAATGAGATGATGAACGTAAGAGAGCTATGCATCAGATGATGGCCGCAAGAGATAGAAGAGGAATAGGGCAAGGGAATGATGGAGAGAGGGGTCCATGTCTCGCGCTCATCTCTTCGGTGCGCTTGCATTCCTATCTCTGCTTACTGCTTACCATTTCCTTCCCTCCCTCAATCGCAGGTGGGAAGAGAACCACTGCACAAAGATCCTTTGCACAGAGACTACATGTCGTGCTTCGGGCACGGCATCTGCGAATGGCATGGGTGACCTTTTCGAAAAGCTTCCAGGAAACTATTTCTTGCCAAACTAACCAAAAAAAGAACACCTGTGCTATTACGCTTCACCAAATATTTTTCCTGCTTCTTGGACCCCACCGCCAAGAGGTGAGCCAACCGTTTCGCTGAAGAAACCAGCAAAAACCAAGAACACAGCGAGCCAGCCGAGCAGGCGAGCAGCCCACTTTTGCCCCAATCCATGCTCAGGTCTTTGGCATCCATATCTGAACCTCGCCCATCGCCGAGCGAGAAAGGGACCTCGGAGCGGTCTACATGTGCTTTGCTGATTGAAGAAAATGGTACGCAGCAATTCATGAACCCAGGATGAAATCCCCAAGGCACACATGCCAGGGTCAGTCCTTCCAAAAGGAGAAAAGCGACTCAAAGATCGTGTTGCAGCAGAAAGCATCCCATCACATCCGAGAAAACGAGCATATTAAAGCATGGAAGCAAGGGTGGCCTGGCCTTGATGTGAGACAAAGGTCAACATATGCACTTCCTGCAATGGACTGACATCGTCCTGACATAGCACATCGGGGTGCCCCTGGCTGTACTTTTGGTTTCCTGCCAAACCAACCTGAAAATGGTACCTTCACACAAAAACACTATCTATATGTAAATATATTATGTATATGTGCACAGTGTATATAAACACATAAATCAATACATCAACATAGTCTAGTTTAAAGATAGATGGCACTGGTTTAGATAGGTTTTTTATTCCATTTCCCAGGGCTATCTGTTTTTCCAAAAGGCCACCTATGTAAACTACTCTTCACCAAAGAGGTTGCCTTGAATAAACGCTCGCGGAAACTGGACTCGCTCTCTGGATGTGAGCGTTCACACACTCACTTCCTCAAAAGACCCAGCAAACACGGGCAGTGTTTTTGGAGCTACCACTGACTCAGTTGCCCAAAACAAGGTTCACCTTTTGGGACCCTGACTAAGCATGGACCAACATGGGAAAACCAAAAGGTCAGATCCGGTCGATTCGCTTCGAACAACCGGGTCAAACATAGATCACCGCTGGCGAGGTCAAAAATTGCCGCGCTGCTCAGCCATCAGGCTGTCAGCCGCGGCTGCGACTGCGCTCCCGACGCCGATCCTTGAATGGGAACATGAAGAATTGAAGGCTCCCAACAACACACACACACACACACATGCAAGTGATGTCTTGTGGAGCTTCACTGAAAGCTGACCATGTGCGCGCACCCGCAGGTTGAGTCGTCTCACAAAAGCGGGTCCAACAAATCTGTTTCGATGGTGCCTTTCCAATTACATGCTTGTGGGCAATTTGTCTTCTGTGTTGCTCTAGGCGATACATGCAGATCACCGTTGTCGATATCACAAGCTGCTATGTGACTGGCTGTGCTATGCACGTGATGTGGCTAGTTGCATTATATTTGTGAGACAGTCTCACCAGCACAGCCACTCAAGCACGTCCAACAAACACCATGTCACCAAGCAGAGCATCGTCACAACTCACCCAATCGGTAACTAGTGCAGGTACAGCCAGACTGGAGAACCACTGACACCAGTGACGCACGCAAAGCCAGCCCCAGTGCCTTCTTTCGCGAGATGGTGCCTTTGTTGTATGAGATTCCAGGGGTAGGCAACCAGCAAGAAACTTTCATTTGCTGAAGCCCTCTGGCAAAAATAAGCATATGTCCAGTAGTGAGAGTCCCTTAAAAAAAACAAAAACAGGAGGAAATCTCACAAAAAACAACAGCAGGGGGAAAAACAACCTATTCTTGGGCGAATGGAAGGAAACAAACACGCGGTGTCAGCTTGCCAGTTGGGACGAATATCTCTGTCGTCCGCGCTTCGCCGCCTGGCAAGGTGGCAAGGGCGCTCGACTCATCTGCCATGTGGTCAGGAAAAGGACACTCTGTTGCTTGATGCTCAAATTTGAGAAGTCCGCCCGCCGCCCCCCCCCAAAAAAAAACGCACACACACACACACACACACAACTCGCACACACAAACATCCAAACAATGGCATCACGCGACAACTTTTGTTGCTTCTGGACCAATTCTTGAAACCGACCCCGCCTGCCATCGTCATCCCGGTCATCCCGGCGGTCGTCCCGGCGGTCGTCTCGACGATCATCTCGGCGGTCGTCCCGCCGGTCGTCCCGACGATCATCCCGGCGGTCGTCCCGCCGGTCATCCCGCCGGTCATCCCGCCGGTCATCCCGACTCCTGGTTGAGACTGGCGGAACAACCATCATCTCGTTTCAGCCAATCTCTGAATTGCCATTGAGTTTCTTTTGATCAGGGGTCAACACTGCCTTGACATCATGGGAAAGGCACCGGAAAAAGAAAAGAAAACAAGATCACCTCGGAGCACTAAGTATGGAGAATATGGAAAGGAATAGAGAACAACATCGAATTTCCTTGCGGGGCAATGTGGAAAGTGCCCTGACTGGACAGCTCTTGCCTAGCCCGCGAGGTACCCCCCACTGACAAGTCTTTTTGGCTCACCCTATGCTCACAAAGGGGTACTTGCCTGGGGGCTAAAATATATACTCCCCGCTTAACGCACCAAAACCACTTGAGGGGGACCCGAACCAGGAACCTACTAAAATAATTGAGGGGTCAGAGTCCCACCAAAGCTGAAACTAAGCATTTGCTAGTATTGGTTAAATGTTAATTATTCTAGTAGTGGTTAGTGTTGTCTTTGTGCTGGTTTAGCATTGGTTTAGTTAGATCATAATTGGTTTAGCATTGCTTTAGTATTGCTTAAAGGGCTTAGCACTGCCCGGTACCCTGGTACTGGTTTAGTATTGCATTGTTTTGTATTGTTTTGTATTGTTTTGGTCTTGCTTTGTGCTAGTTTCGTATGTGCCCTCTTGGGTCTTCTTTGGTCCGTGATGAGTATTGGTTTAGGTTTGCTTTCTTTAGAATCGGTTATTGGGAAATGTCTGCCAGCAACATTTCCTGCCTCAACTGCATACTCTTCTCAGCTCTTATCATGCATCGACTTAGCAGAACACAAAGTGATGATTCCCACGCGGTTGAAGAGAAGCAGGGCGGAGAGTCTTGGTGAAGCTTGGGAGACACTATGTGAGTTGTTTCGTGTGAAAAAGCACTTTCTTGAAATGGCCGTGGGTCAAAAATGGGCACCCAAAATTGGTTGCCCTGGTAAATGGAACCAAGGACTAAAACCTGTGGTCCAATTCCTGGTGGTTTGATTTTGACCCACACCCAAATGAGTACCTACTGTCTTTTCGCAGGGAATCATTTCGGGAGAACTTTCTTTGGTCCCCCAATAACTTCATCTGGTGCCAACCCCGAAATCTAACACTCTTTAAGGGGGCTCCTTTGAGGGAACACCTTTTTTTCAGCTGCCCAAAGAACCAAGCAACTAGAAGAATAATCTTTGTGACTGAACATGGACCAACAAGGGGACACCACATTCTCAAAAGGTTTTTCTTTAGAACGTAACTTGCCAGGGAGTGCCTCACTGCCTCACCTCAGCTGCCTCAGCTCCCGCCTGCGGCTACCCCGGTCGTCGCGGTCGCGGACATCGCGGTCGCGGACATCGCGATCGCGGTCGTCATCGCCGCGATCGCGGCGCGTCCGGCTGCGAGCGCTGCGACTGGGCTCTCTATCCTTCTCCTGGACACCCCGAAGGTGGTCCTATGTCAACCCCAAACAACTCCCCAGTGTGGCGGTTTGCTTTGCAAGACGAGCCTATTGGGGAAACCCACCCTATTTGGGGACTAGCTTAGCAAGCCCAAGATGCCATCTCGGTCTTTCTTCTATTATTTTTTTTTGGGGGGGGCGGGTGGACTGTTTGTCAATTTGTGGGTAGACCAAACTCAGTTGCCCAAAGCACGAAACAAAAGGTGATCACCTTTTGCGGCCACGAAAACTGGCTAAAAAAATGAGGAAACTCAAAGGTCAGGTGCGGTTGATTCGCTTTGGGTGCTGGTTGATCGCAACAAGGACGATCCGGGAAGCTGCCGAAGGTCTAGGTGTGTCCGTGTCTTAGAGCTGGTGTGCCCTTTGCGAGACACCTCGATGCTCAGTTGGTGTAAAAGGAAAACCAAAGGGAAAGCACCATTGTTGGTTTCCCTATTTTGAGACAAATCCGAGTGGCTATTCGACACATGTAAAGGCAGGAGCAAGTCGAGCGATCTATCCATCACAGTAGTTGTCGTAAATACTGGCTTGTCCCTGTTGACAGCACCCCTCCTTGGTCCCAAGGTCTTGCAAATTTCTGAACTCTCACATCCTCAGTTGTTCAAAGCCGACCTTTTGACCTTTTGGTTTTCCCAGTTTGGTCCATATTTAATGTCCCCAAAGGGTGAACCTTTTAGTTTCAAGTCCTTTGGGCAACCCTAAAGGGCTTCCCCCACAGTCCCCTCAGGTAATCCTCTAGTTTTTGCTTGGACTAAGGCAAGCACCTGTTTTCCGCTGCCTCCCCGCCAAAACACACCAACAAAAACAACAACTCTTCTATAGACGCTTTGTATCGTGGCTTTATGGTGATTACCACATGGGAGCAGTGGCTTGCAGGCGACTGAAGGCCAGGAGTTGGGCATCAAGACTTGGCACAGTCATTGACGCGGGCTCAAAAGTCTAGCCAGGGGACCGCAGGACTTTGGTCTACTTTCCCGTTCCATTCTGCGCCCATGGTCTGTTTTTGAGCCGTCCCATGGTTTGGCGATTTACAACTTCCAGGCCAACTCGAAGTGGCAACCGACGGGTCCCCAGACAATTCGTCCAAATGCGTCTGGATGGGTGGCCATTGGCTTCCAAAATCTCGCCTCACCTCCCCGAGCCCATTTCTTTCCGACTGAGGACCAAAAACTAATCAGTCTTATCATTGTTGTCATATGCGTAGTTCAACATGATTGTCTTGTACTTCCTAAGCCTTTGACCCTTGTTCGGCCCACTGCCCAACCAGTTTTCGGGCTCCTTCTCCTTCTCGTCCTTCTCTGGACGATCTTTGATGATCTTCTCAAACTCCAACCTCGGCAAACAGCAAGCGGCCTGTTTAGTTTTTGAGGGTCTTCGGGTGGGTTGGTTTAGAGCAGTCACTGGATGTCTGCTCCAAAAGTTGCAATTTATTTTGGCGGTTTCTATGCACACTGCCACTGTTGAAGATCCCCAAAGGTGAAATCGCAAAAGCCCTGTAGAAGGACACCAAAAGGAGCACCATCATTTTGGAGACAACCCTTTCAGACAACCCCATTTGATTCAAAGCCATAGGCGAATCATTGCAGACATAGTGAGGTGTGAAAGGCCATAAGCCTCCCATTCGGTTCAGAAAATAGCAGCTGACCAACTAAATAATTACCTAGTCTTCCGAGCCACTTTTTTGTTGATCTCGTTTTGGACTGGTTTAGACTTGTCTTACAACATCGCAACAACTGCATCTTGTTTTGCATTGCGCTGCAACTGCATTCTATCAAGCTCGCAAAACAAATCGCGCCTTCCCTTGTGCCCACATTCCCGGAACATCGTCCTCCAGTAGAGAGGTTAGAGTAAGGGTACCCGAGTTGTTTTCTGTCGTCTATTTTAGTAGACGAAAACCCTCCCAACCAAAAAAGGGGTGAGAAAGGGCACGATCCTGGCGGACCTGGTCGGTGACAACCCCCTGAGCGAGATCGCCATGATGGGTCAGGAGCCGACCAATTTTGGTGCGACCCTTTTGTACGCTCCCCAGACATGTTGCAGGTCAAAAAAAACTTCCGAGTGGCTGATTTGTGTGGATCGCAAAGGTTCGAATCCGCGCTCGAAGATAAACCTCCTCTCCAAATATTCCCTGTCTTCTATTGTTGGGTTGCCGCCCAACGAAAATACAACCCAATTCCGCTTTTGTATTTAGTACGTGACCCATGGGTTCAAATAGATCCTTGCCTGGTCGCCTCGCTCTAAGCTGGGTAAACCCAGCAACTGCCATTTGGCACTTCGACTGGCGTTTTTGTCCCCTGAAACAAAACACATGTCCAGTAGTATAGATTCCCTTCAAAACCAACTAACATAAAACATATGAGTGTCTCTTGGCTTCCCAATAGAAGCATCCCCCAAAAAATAGGTACCAACTCAAGAACAGCTACCCAAACGAAAAGAACAAATGTTCATTTGGCTGTGGGTCGAAAATAGGAGCCCAAAACATTTGCTGCCCTGGTATATGGAAGACGAACACCTGCGGCCCAATTCCTGGTGGCGTTTATTTTTGACCCGCGCCCATCTCAGCAAATCGGGATGCGGAGGTTTACAACCAGATGCCCCGTGGATTTCCAGGGGAGACAAAAAAGTCGGCATCCCTTTCGTTGGGGTTGGTGGAGTTTCTCACTGGCTGAGTGGATGGCCCCAAAAAAGCAACAAAACTTTTTATGTTTACCACTAAAACGGTCCAAACCCGAAAAGCTTAAAGTTCATGAGCTCAGGAAGTGAGGTTTCAAGGGAACCCTTCCCCGAAAAACGTTGGAAAAAAAAGGGGAGCAACCCCATTGAGCACATCGAAGGGGTTCGGAGCCTTTCTGCTTCTTTCCTGTTGGTTTCCCAAGCCATCTAAACAGGGGAAAACAAGACATATTCAGTACAGCAAATCTTCATTTCAGCAAACGGAAGAGGACTCAGTTGTTCAGTGACTCTGGAAAAAGAAGGGAACCCTTTTTGGGGAAGACCCTTTTTAGTGGGGCAGCCACCAAAGAAAGGGACAAATAATTGGTGCCACTGAACAACTGAGAACAGGTTGGGGACATAAAACATATGAGTGTCTCTTGGTTTCCCAATAGAAGCATCCCCCAAAAAATAGGTACCAACTCAAGAACAGCTACCCAAACCAACAGGGGAAAATAACAAATGTTCATTTGGCTGTGGGTCCAAAATAGGAACCCAAAATGGGTTGCCCTGGTATATGGAAGACTAAAACCTGCGGTCCAATTCCTGGTGGCTTAATTTTGACCCGCACCCATTTCAGCAAATCGAAGCGGAGGTTTACAAGCACAGACTAGGCGCTGCTTCTCCCGGAGCTTCACATAGCCTTTGTGGATGTCACACTCGGGGTGGATGTCCGGCTTGTACTTGCCCCCCTCGCGTTGCTTCATGCTAGGGGTACCTCCTTCCGGGGTTACCTCCCATTTCCATTCTCAACCCCGCGATCCGGATCTTTCTAGAAAATCTCCAGCTCCCCCATTCTTAACCCAGGCATCTGGATCTTTCTAGAACACCTCCAGAAACCCAGGGTCTTACCGGATCCAGTTTTTGAGAACAATGGTTGAAAAAGAATGGTTGTAAAAGAAACCCAGGGCAAACGGATCCAGTTTTTGAGAACAAACGATGGAAGACACAAATTTATGTAACAATGGAAGGTCCAGGGATGGTTGAAAAAGAATGGTAAAGGAAACATCCCCGAGATTCATGCATGCCTCGGCCCGAGCACACTGGGCCCATCCTGAACCTGGGACCCACAACCCACAAGCTGCAGCTCCTCGACAGTCCCCTCGTCAGCTCGCTTTTCCCCCCTAAAATTGCTGGGGTTTCGTTTTTGGTTTCCCCTTAAACCCAAAAAACAAAAGGGAGGCCACCAGAGTGTTTCTTCCTTTTTTTTTAAAGGCGCTGGAATTGCTTCGCGAGCTGCACCCTGCCTCTGTTTCACGAATGTTGATGTCTGCGAACCGGAGCTTGTACTTCATTCCGCAGATTTCGCAAAGCCTGTCCTGCGCCAGAAAGGCACAGGACGAAGTGAAGTCTAGGCTGCGGAGCTGATGTATATATATATATATATATAAACGCTACAGAGAGGGCCAAGCACGTGCGATGCTGACTGATCGCAATCTGGCGCACGAAGCGCTTATTCTGCATCCCTGAATGGTGTGTCTTGTTTGGTGGAAAGATGTGGAAACCTTCTTTGTGGTTGACAACGGAAAGCCGCCCACTTTGGCTATGCTATCCTCCTATTTTGCGACAGCCCCCATATCAACTTCGAGACGTGATCTGAACAAGCTCCCGTTGGGAGGGGAGCGCAGACCGAGCCCCAAAAGCCGGGGATTGCGATCCCCGAGTCGCAGTTCTGTCCTGGTCGGTCATCACAGCGATGCCCTCCGCATGCCTGTCACAACGCACGCAACAGCGCATGGCCGTGGAGTGTTGAAAGGGAAGCCCAAAATCAAACAAGGGCAACCCCAAGAAAAAGGCAATCCATAAAAAAGGGGCAATCCACAAACAAAAAGCAATCCTCAGAAAAAGCAATCCTCTAAAAAAAGAAGAAGGGCAATCCACAAAAAAAGGCAATCCACCAAAAAAAAAGTAATCCACCAAAACAAAACAATCCACATTAAAGGGCAACCACAAAAACATGTTGCCATGGTGTGCCCCTTCACTATGAGACATCGCATCAAGATCTAAAAAGCAGCAGCCGGTGCTCGGATCTATGTGTTGGTGGATATTTCACTGAACATCCAAATGCTAGTTGGCAGCTAGGTTTTTTGCCAGGCTCCCAAAGGCTTAATCACCCCGCTCTGAATTTGCCGGTGCATTAACTAGATGTGTGTTGTTTCCTTTCTTCCGGCTTCGTGGCTTGCAAAGAAGCAGCCAAGTTCAAGAGTCTGTGCATTGAGTTTGTCGACATGGTGACCTTGGCCCTCCCGCGAAAGCTTCGTGCGAAAGCTTCGTGCGAAACGATTCAATCCCAGCCTCACTTGCCCTTAGGGAGCTAGAAATAAAAGCTTGACCTTCTGGAACCTCTAAATATGGACCAAAAACGGAAACGAAAAGATCAAAGGTCGACTTTGGACCCCCCATTTTATTTAATTGCAAAGGTTTTTTGCTTTGCTTCCCAGATTCCCACAAATACTAAAGCAAAGCGCCAACAAGGCCTACCCACAAAATTTATTGGGCCTCCCCCACCCCCGCCCCCCCCGGACAAAGGTACCCCCCTAGCCCCCAAGCCCAAGCAAAAAAACCTGCCAGAAAAGGGGCTTTCCTTTTTGCTTAGTATTTGCTTAGTTTGCGCTTAAACCCGCCAATACTCAGCCGCTATGAAACCCCTCAAGATTCCAAAAAACAGTGTTTCCCCAAAGAAACATGGTTCGCACTAAGATTGCTAAACATGACAAGGTGTTCAAGCTCACAAAGAGGACCCCCTCGTGAGGCCAGCCCCTCCGCGGTTAATCAGGGCCCACAACCAAAAACTGCTGTTGCCATTCAAAGTTTCGATTGCCCAGAAGGGGCCAAGAAGGCAAGGACCGAAGAGGTTCTCCAAGTTCCTCTCATGAATGACGCGGGTCCTTCAAAAACTCTCAGCTTTTGGGGCTGGTCCAAACCTCGTCGACCTTGAAGGGGATTGGGGGGGGTCCCTGTACTGATCAGACGTGACCTCCTCATGTTATTCAGGTAGACGCGCCCTCCCCCAACAAAGGCCACAATCTCAGGCTCGATTTACATACCCCTTCTTACAACCCCCTCTTTGACCTCTTTGCCTTGGGTAGCTTTGGGTCCAGCTCTCCGGCCCCCGTCCATTTGCCCGGCCTGCGCTTTTCCCGCGACACCTGGGCAGTGCGGGGCAGTTCGGCCCCAGAGCCCACGGTGGCTTCCTGAAGGGGTACCTCCCAGGTCCATTTCTTAGCCCAGGGATCCGATGGCTTTTTCAAAAAGCCATCAAGCACCCAGACAAAACAGCGATCGGTGGTTGAAAAGAACAATGGCTGGAAAGAATGGGGAAAGCCCTAGATTGATGTGGATGTCGTATTAGTTTCTTTGGGTGTCGTATGGCTCCTCAAACAAAACATATAACAATAACAACCCGCAATCTTAATCCGCGAAACCCTATGGCGCTTGCCGCTACACCGTTCACAACTTGGTTGCTGGCGGTTGACCCCCGTGCACAAAGCCTTTATCACTTTTGCGCGCCCAACGGAAAACCAACTTGATGTCCCAAACGCTGGGAATTGATTCGTAGTGGTCTCACGAAACGGCCGATTTTTTTTCCCGGAGCTTGAGGTCTAAAAATCCAAGAACAGTTAAATCTAAAGGTCCAACCCAGTAGCACTCCAGAAAAGAGAAGGCGCCCTTTGACCAAATCCAAAAGCCTCTACTTTCGAAGTCCGAAAAGAGGCCCCAATTTCTTCAGGCGCTTGCCTAACTAGGTCCTCTGGTAGAGGTTGCAATAAGTTGGTACCAACTTTTTTTTCTGTAGTCTATTTTAGTAGACGAAAACCCTCCCCCACAGAAGGGGTTAAAAGGGCACGATCCTGGGGGACCTAAAAAATGCCTGCAAGCGCCAAGAAATCCATCTGAAGGTCCCTGTCGCTGGCCTTAAAGGGCGGTGCCTGCCTCTCCACCGATAGTGACTTGTGACCAAAGCAGCGCCAGATGCTTAGAATAAGATGAGTCAAAATGCTTCCGCCTGGCAAATCACTCAGGACTTGACACAGGTGATGTTCAAATTATGGGACACAGATCCCATGGCCAAAAAAAGGGCCCTCAAAAAGGGAACCCCCCCTAACAAGCCTTAGCCTTGGTCACTCTTAGCTCCTAGTAAGATCGGGCATCGGCCCCGATTTTCTTTTTTGGCGGGGGCTAAGAAAAAGAGATCCCTTCGAGGGGGCGCCAGTCGTTTTTTCTCTCCTTTTGTTTCCTCTTTTTTTCCGCCGCCCAAATCAGCTGCCTTGTCCTCGACCTCGCGAATGCCCTTGTCGATCAAGTGCAGGAGGTCGTCTTCATATCTACCTGAGGCGTGAAGCTCCATCTCACAGCCGCGTCTTGGAGGCGTAGAGTTTTATGTATGTGGTTGTTTCTTTACATATACACAAACATGTACTCATACGTACATAACGTGTATTACATACAATATAGATAAGTGTCTATGTATATATATATATATGTATGCATGTGCATTTGGGCCCCCACCCTGATCTAGGACGCTCCTGTTGCCAGGTTGAAAGGAATCTCCAGGAAAAATACGAGTTTTGGGGGTCCGACGTTTTCCAGTAAGATGGCTCGGGCTCAAAGGATGGTACCCAAAATGGGAAACCCTGGTAAAAGGAAACGCAGACTAACACCTGCCTAGGTCCTCCAGTGGAGTGGTTAGAACTTGTTCTGTAGTCTATTGTAGGAGGGGAACCCTCCCCCAAAAAAGGTGAAAGGGCACTGCTGGGGGACCTAGACACCCTGATAGTCTAAGCAGGACGCCCTTTCCATCTCGTCGCTGGTCACCTATGCCAACCACTGCAACGCAGAAGAAGACGTTCCGCAAAGTCCGCCACACATGTCACACAGCACCCCGTGAGGCTGTGCAACTTGCCATAAGGTTTGGTTCACGTCACACCTCAAGTCTCAGAGAGATGCGGATTTTTCAATGGGAACTCCGCTTGATCGCGAATCAATGCGGCATCGAGTGAACGGATTCCAGTGACCCAGTGACCCCTGGGTTCAGCGTGGGAAACCAGGCCCGGCCGTAACTGGGATGGCCAATGTGTTTGGACAATATGCGGTCAGTGAAACAACTACCTGCAGTCCCCTGGTGGTTTAATCTTGACCCATACCCAAATGGAACGCGCAGGAAAGAATGCTCACGCCTCAGCCTTTCTGGCTTGCAGTTTAGACGCCAGCCAATCCAGTCAATTCACACTTGTTCCGATCTGTGAAATGACGTCTGGTAGCCTGGCAGCAAGTCAAGGCATGAAAGCTTTCTGCACTCCGGGCAAAACTGCAACCAAGGCCCGACAAGGCTGCTCCGCAATGCCGGCGCCAAAGGGTAGATGCAGCGATCAGAATGAATTCAAAGGTGTGTTTTGTGTAGTTCTATTAAACTGAGAAACAACCGGAACTCGTCACACATTTGGAGCCTTGGTTGGTCGTCAACTCTCGGAAATCCGCCTGAAATCCGTGACATCTATCATCCAAAACATCAGATTTCAGCAACTGCAAGCTGAGATGCGGAAACCAGCGCCGCCCTGAGAGCACGGACTGTCACCCTGCGCTTTCGCACTATCCCCCCCGGTCGCTTCGCATATTTGTTCCATTAAAAGCACACAGACAGTCCTCAAGGGAACCCTTGGAGGATGCTTTTTGGGGATGTATCTTGGACCTTGAAGGTTACCATTCCTGCCGGCACGTTGTGATCCCAGGAGAAATAGCATTGACGGCTCCGGCAAAAGGAAAGAGACAGAACGCGTGCTGGAAAACCAAGAGACACCATTCAGTTGAATCTTCACTAGTTGACCGTGTCTATGGCCAAACACGTTGAAGCGAAGGGCGCCCAACTTACGTTCGTTTGTGAAGAAGCCAGCCAACAAAAATCGATCCTCTCCTCAAACAGATTACATGGAAGCCCAAAATCTGTCATGTTTAGACGAATCCGCGCTTTGAGAGCCCTCTATTGGGGGGCATTTCAACAGTCAGCTCTATGTAGCTATGAAGAATGAAATACAGGTTGCCAACTGGAAAAGCAAAAGCAACTTAAATGCGCAGCAGAAGTTCTAGCATGGGATCTTAAATCTGTTCTCACAACACCAGTTTGGCAACGATCACCTTTCCTCAATACTGTCCCGTCCTCAGATCCCCTGCTCAAAGTTTAACTTTTAGGAAATGGACACCCAACCACTAGACCAACTAAAAACAACTCAAAACTCAAAACAACTCAACGCCTGAGGGAAGGGAACCACAACAGCAAAGCGTCGGTCCATGGAGCTCAGATGCGTTTGTACTTCGCATGGTCTCTGTGCTGTTTGAATTCGTCCCGCACGCCGATGGAATGGAGCTGGTTGCCTCAGGCCGCCATTCTGGGGGAAAATTCTCGTATGGCCATGGGTCAAAACCCATGCACGCTTTCAGTGAACGGGACCCAATCCAACCACTAAAATAGGTTCCAAAATGGGTGGTGACCTACCCCAAAATAGTGAAATCGGTTTTGACCCATATTTCACCAACCTGAAATAAGGTGGTTGGGGGGCTACTCCCCGCATGAACCACCATTTGGGGTGAATTCGGCCGTGTGAGGTCGTTAAACAAATCATCCAGCACCACCAAACAAGCCGTGGGCGTGTCAACCTGCATGACTCGACCCATTCCAAATGTTTTTCCTCCTTTACCTCGCTGTCAGTTTCTTGGTCCTCCAGTAAAGAGGTTAGAACAAGTTGGCACCAACTTTTTTCAGGATTTAAGTGAAGAAAAACCCTCCCAACCAAAAAAGGGGTGAGAAAGTTGGCACCTAGCTGAGGGACCTAGGTGTGCCGGCTTTCAGAAGTTCCATTTCCGCATTCGGATCCAATGCCCGGGCTCCTGACCAAAAATATCCTCAGCTCACGCCAGGGATGCAGGACATCTCCTTTTCTGTTATAATCCGTTCCCCCGATCACTACAGGTCTCCCCAATAATAAATAACTGTTAATAAACATTGTTTTGCTTAGTAAAGGTCTCCCCAATAATAAATAACTGTAACAAAAAACACATTTTGCTGGCAGGGAATGCTTTTTAATTAAAGGGGGGGGGCGCTTTATTATTAGGGGGAGAGGTATACAGGTATGGGCCATCCCTACTCATTTGTCACTTGGGAGGTTAGCTTGGTATCACAAAAATATGTTGTAAATATCTACTTGCCACATGGCTCAAACCTGAATCTCACGTAGCACCCAGAATTCGCCCAGGTATTGGACGCACAATTGGGAAATGATGTTCAAAGTAGCCAAAACGGGTCATGTAAAGAGGAAGCCCTCACCCTCAAACATGGCTAATAACAATCTCCATTTGAGCGGTGGTCAAAACCCGGGTTCCACGATTTGTCTGCCTTCGCGAGCCCTTTTGGCCAAGCAACCCTTTGGCCGACAGGATCCCACGGGCACACCCAAGCATTGGCCAAGGACACGGAAATGTTTCTGTTCACTTTGTGGGGCCATGGCTAAACATGGGGTACCGAGGCCTACACAATGCAATGAGGGCATCTGCTGGATGGCTCAACCCTCCTTTCTCAATAAGTTTAACCTTTTGCGTCCCGCTTGCAATTGGTCGGTAGCAGGACCCCCCCCCAGCCAACAAAACAAACATCAACATCGGGTGGTATCCCCAACAGTCCCTTGTCGCATACTTGGGCCTATCGACTCCGCTGAGTCAGTTGCTGAAAAGCTCAGTTTCTCCCCTTCGATCCTCCGCTAAAAGTCGGAAAAAAAAACTGCTGGTTTAGCTAAACCTTCTAACACCTCAAAGGAACCGGATGGAACCTTGAAAAACCCTTGGTATGGTCAGCTTACCGCTTTGTTTCCAGTCCCCAAAGCCATCAAAAACCGGGGGCAAACACATGCCAGCCGTGAAGAGAGATCCAACCAAACAAGTCCCGGAATTTCGGTCATCCGCGCCGCGAAAAAACCGGACGGAGACTGAGCTCGTGGCAGGGAGCGATCACACTCTTCGGGTCAAATTCGGCCCGGATCTGGGCCGAAAACGTGGCAACCGACCGACAAAAACAAGCGCGCATTCGCGCAACGAAAGCTGCTTGGATGAAAGGGACCATGGCTGGCTCGCCTTTTTGAGGGGCGCCCCTTAAACTGGTTTGTGGCTTTAATGGAAACCAAAAAAGGCCATGTTTGGGTGGATCCGCAAAAACAAAACACACATCCAAATGGAGGAAAACCAAAGGGACGGGCTGGCGCCGGGGAACGAACAGGAGGGTGTTAAAAAGCGATTCTAGAGATTGATTCCCCATTTTCAACCATCGTTCTCTTCAAAAACCGGCTGTTTCCCCTGGGTTTTTGATGGTTTCCTGAAAAGAAGGATCCCTGGGAAGAATGGAAATGGAAGGTACCACTAGAGCTATGAGCTCAAACAAAAACTAGGGGGCTGGCCAAGGTTCAACCCCGGGAGGCAACCGAAAGTGTCTCTCGTGGTACAGACTCGTGGTAACTCAAAACCTGTCTGCCTGGAGTCTCCATGACCTTGAAAAATGGGTCAATGACCCCATTATTTTGGGTAATGACCTTAAGGGTCATGCAGCCTCCAGGTGGGTACTATCCTGTATGTTTCAAAGGGTCGTTTGGATTAGATGTTAACTTCAGGAGGGCACTCTTATATGCCGAAACCCTGTCTGAGGGCTTCCGAAATTTTGCGAGGCTCGGTGGTTTCGTTCAAGCCGCTAAAGTGTGGCATTGTAACAGTTTACTGGAGCCTCATGTGCCTGAAAGTCAATGTCTTGACCTGTGCCATCGGAAGCGGCCAACGCGAACCACTGGCGTTAGCAGTTGATGTCGCGTCACATGCTGTGCGTGCGTGCGTGCTTGCGTGCGTGCGTTCGTGCGTGCGTAAGCGCGTGTCTGCACGTGTGTGTGTGTGTGTGTGTGTGTGTGTGCCTGCGTGCGTGCCTGCGTGCGTGCCTGCGTACAATTATGTGTAGCAGTGCGTGTGTGTGTGTGTGTGGGTGGGTGTGGGTGTGTGTGTATATAAACATTTCTGTGTCTGTGTGATTTTGTTTGCTCGTTTGTTTGATTGCTTGAACAATTGTTTGCCTAGCACACATGTTTGATTGTTTTCTTGCTTGCTTATTTACCTGCTTGATTGAGACATTTGGGTGTAAGCTTCATTGCTTGCTTGTTTTGTCTGTTTGCTTGTTTGTTGGTTTCGTGTGTTGGTTTTGTTGGTTTTGCCGGTCAGCTGGTTTGTAGGTTGGCTGGCTGGGTGGTTGGTGTGTGCCTATGTATTCGTATGCGAGCTTGGATGCTTCGTGTGGACTTGAACAGCTCTGACGTTGCTTGGCTTGCTTTGGCTGCTTCCGTTTGATGTGTTTACTTGTGTGTGTTCGTTCGTTCGTTCGCCGGTCTGCTTGTCTGCTTGCTCGCTTGCTTGTTTGCTTGATTGTTGTTGTTCTCTGTGGTTTGTGTGTTGGAGTCTGTTGGTGCTTGCGGATTTGTCTTTGTGTGTTTGCGTTTGTCTGTTTGCGTTGGTGTGTGTGTGTGTGTGTTGAGCTGCTGTGAGTGGTGTGTGTGTGTAGTGCTTGTGGTGTGCGTGTGTGTGTGTGTAGTGCTTGTGGTGTGTGTGTGTGTGTTTGTGTGTCTGTGTCTGTGTCTGTGTCTGTGTCTGTGTCTGTGTCTGTGTCTGTGTCTGTGTCTGTGTCTGTGTCTGTGTCTGTGTCTGTGTCTGTGTGTGTGTGTGTCTGTGTGTGTGTGTGCGTGTTTTTTTGGTGTGTGTGTGTGTGTTTGTGTGTGTGTGCTGGTGTGTATTGGCGTGTGTGTGTGTGTGTGTGTGCGTGTGTGTGTACGTTTGTGCGCGTTGGTGAGCGTTGGTGCGCGTTGGTGTGTGATGGTGTGTCTGTGTGTTGGTGTCTCTTTGAATTGTGTTTGTGTTGCTTTTGATGCTTGTTTCGGTATTGGTTTGTTCTTTTTCGTTGTGTGTGTGTCGGTGTTTGTGTGTGTGTGTGTATGTATGTGCATTTGCGTTGGTGTGTATCTGTCTGTGTGTGTGTGTGTTTGCTTGCGTGTTTGTGTGTGTGTGGTTGTGTGTGTGTGTGGTGGTTCTGTGTTGGTGTGTTTGGCTGTGTTTGTGTGTGTGTGCTTGTGTGTTCGCGTGTTGGTGTGTTTGTGTGATTGTGCGTTTGTGTGTGTGTGTGTGTGTCTTTGTGTCTTCACGTGTTCGTGTGTGTGTGTGTGGATGTGGGTTTGCTTTTGTGTTCGCGTGTAAGTGTGTTTGTGTGTTGGTGCGTTTGTGTGTGTGTGTGTGTCTTTGTGGGTTTGTGTTTTCGCGTGTTTGGCTGTGCTTGGGTGTGTTTGTGTGTGTGCCCCCGAAAGAAGAATGGCAAGGACCTAAATTGGATGACATGGTGGTTACAGGGGGGTTGATCAATATTCCTGGTCCCAAACGACCATGGGTGACTTTTCCCGTTTAGCGGGGAAAGTCCTCTTTTCTCATAATTACCATGATGGTCATCCCATGCTCATCGGACCTTTTGATCAAACCCCATATTAGCCCTCCATTTGCGTTTTCGCCCCTTTACAAAAAACAAGTAACAAATAGTGCAATCGACTCCCTTTAGAACCAAAATGGAAAAACACATGTTCATTTCAGCAATTGGAAGTAGCCGGGCTAAGTCATCGGACCTTTTGATCAACCCATATTAGCCCCCGTTGGTTTTAACGCTGCTTTGAGCCTTCATTTCAGCAAATGGACGTAGGCCCTTGGCTTTAACGCTGCTAGGGCGCCTTGGGCTGGGCTAAGACCCCTGCTTTGAGCCGGGCGAAAATGACACCCGCCATGGAGAAATCCACTGGGGCGCCCCCACGGAATCCAGCTCCCGGCCCAGCGTTTTGCCCGGGCAGTAGCCCGCCAGGAAGAACTTGCAGTAGTCATCCTGCGAGCTCTCCGGTCTGTGCGGACACGAATTTGGGGGGTAAGAATTCGGCACCTCCAGAGCCGTGTTTTGTTTCTTTTTTTGCAGTGGCGGGAAAAGAAGGGCACGAGTAATGCAAATGCAAAAATGCCCCCCCCCCGTCAAAATGAATTGAAAAAGGACACGCGAACGCCCAATCCATTGCAAATGACAGTCCTTGCTCACAAGGGACCCTTTGCGAGTTGCACCGTGTTTTGGACCACGGTTTTTGGACGGCTTGAGACTCATGCAAGGATGCAGGGCGATGTTGGATCTATGGCCACTTTGGAGGAAAGCTGGGGGGGTCGTAAAAAAAAGGGGTTCTTCTTGGCTGCCTTGCGCCGCCTTTTAGAGGGAGACAAAGGACCACCAATTTTGACAACCCCCCCAGCTGAGCGGGTGGCAATCAACGTTGCAGGAAGCTCCGGCAATGACACCCACCATGCAACCTGTCCTTTGATCCGTTATTCAACCCACACGGCCATTCTATGCTTAGCCCTTAATGCTACATGCACCAGATATATCAACCGGAAGGGTGAAGGGCGTGTCGCCCCCCGACCACCCCTACCAAAACCCGAACACCCACCCGCCCCCCCAAACCAGACCTTGATGAATGGTCAAACAATTATCAGCCTCCCTCTGTTTGGTGTTTTGGATTGGTGGTTTGGTGCCTAAGGAGGGCTTTCCCCTCTACCCTCCACAAGAACCAAGGCTCAAATCCAAATCCAAACCACCAATCCTATCAACCAATCGGTTGCCTTACTGGACCCATGGAGTTCCAACTTCGGCTCCTTCTTGAACTCGGGTTCGCCTCGAGTCTCGAACCCGTCGCTGGGGTTTGCAGATGGGAACCCGACCCACCCACCCCACCCCCTTCGGCAGGTTCGAAGGGTCCAGTGTTTGGAGCAGTACAAACACTGCTGTTCAACGCGGGTCACTTTACTGCAGCCTCGGCGAAAAAAGAAGAAACGCGACGCGTCAATAGGGTTTGTTCTGGCAAAAGCGGCCTCGTGCTTGCAAGTCTTACAAGGAATTTCGAACCTGTCCGGCTGGACTCATTTCGATGGCCTTCCTAAAGCCAGGAGGGGTCTTTGTCCAAGCAATCTATTTGCGGAAAACAGTTTGTCTGCGATGCGGGGAGTTCGTGCAATTGCTCTGCAGCGACCTCACTTCATACATCTCAATAGTATCACAATGGGGCACCTCATAAATGGTTGGTTTCCGTTTGGCATCCCTGTGAATACCTTTGATTCTTCCTTCGGTAGCAAAAATCCACATGCGTCAGAATCCGCACCTGGTACTAACTCTACCCAAACCGCAAGGGGCGGCTGAACCCAGATCCCTTGCTAACATTCACTTACGCGTTGGTTGAAATTCTGGCTGCCACATTCAAGCCAATATGCCCCAAGGCCGTTCCTTTTTGCGGCCTGGGGGATCTGGACAAATCCAAGATTAAAGAAATGGGATCCGGCAAGGGCCCTTGACCTCGTCTTCTGATTTTGCAAATGGCATCAGTTTCGCAGATCGACCGATTCGTTCAGGAAACTCTTTTCGGGGTTCACCGTGCTCAGGACCTACCAAAGAAATAGAGAACGCGGGTGCCACTGAATAACTGGGTTCGCGAAAGCCCACGACTCATTTCCAAACTAAAACGCGCTGCCCATACCCTTTCTGGGTTCCCTTGGTAGCTTCTGAGGGTCTCAAACCCCCGAAAAACACTCTCCCCCCTTTAAAATAAAAAAAATCAGAACAAATCCTCAAAGGGCAGGTAAGTTATTTTCCGGGTGATTTCCCCCCAAAAGAAAAAGTTTCAGAACAAATTCTCAAAGGGCAGGTAAGTGATTTTCCGGGCCCAGAGTCCAGATTTCGAGTTGCAAGCGGAGAATCTGATCCGATTCTGCTTTCCTCTTCGCATCCGTGAGAGAGAGGGACGCAAAGCTCAGAGCTCGGAGCTCTTTGCAACTTTTTGCTTATGACTTTCCCCCCCAAAAAAGCTTAGCATGACTTTGTACTTAGCATAACTTTTTGCTTAGCATGACTTTTTGCTTAGCACGACGTTTACAGCCCAATAATTGGGAGTTGATATTTGTTTAACCCTGGGATCCAAAAGGACGACTAAAAAACCCGGAACCTGTCCGATTTGGCTTGATGTGACACCACCAACCAGTTCCGTTTTTAAGGAGTCGTTCATGGTCGCAAGGGCGCGCAAAAGAAAAACCGATTCGAAGCTCTCCAAACACACCTTGATTGTCTGACTCAGACTGTCTAGCTAAATCAATGATATGTTTTTACCAAAGGCCACAAAGGCGAAGGTAAGAAATCAAAGGAGTCCCATTCTTCCAACGCAAAACCCTCCATAACCCAAATCAACCCCAAACCAACCCTAACCTAACCCCAAACTTCCATTTGCTTAAGGCCTCCGGACAAAAAACAAAAACATATTTCCAGTAGTGATGAATTCCTTTTTAAGATCAACAAGGAAAACACAAAACAACTTAAGCAAATGGAGGCAAACCAGCCAAGCCGCCATTCACCTTGTCCTTTTTGGCCACGTTCCGATTGGTGCCTCGCGAGATGCCAACGGCACCAAGTGCAGGTCGCAACCAGAAAGAACCATCGGGTGCCCCGTTCAATGGGGTCAGACAAATGGGCGTGAATTTCAATAGGAAACCCTTTGAAAAACATCACCTAGGTGGGTATTCATGTTTACAGGTTGAATATATTGATAAAACATGTTTTATTAAAAACGGAAGAAACAAAAACATTGGATTGGTACTTGAAAGCTATGGGGCCAACTGGTTGTCCGATCGTTGAACCCGGGCTGTGGGAAATGGAATCCGCTTCTGTGATACCACCACAAGGGCCTAACCCCAACGACTAACTCCCCATAAGGGGGAAGATTCCCAAAAGTATCACAGAAGTGGTTGGATAATGGGCCTGTGAATCAGGCTGAAGAGGTCATCCGACACAAAAATCGGCCCAGGACAAGACACGGGAAATTCACCGGCACAGCTTGAGGCCTGGAAACTCAGACCAAGAAAAAACCTTGACGTTGGGTTTGGCGAGCAAAAATGTATTTTTTAGCAGTTAAGTGGGGATTTCCCACTAAACCACAATAAGCAAGATAATGTAAAATGTTTCCCAACAACAACCATGAAACGGGGGTGTGGCTCAACAACTCCTTTGGAATTGAAAGGCACACCAAAATATTAAATGCCCCCATGCTTGGCTCGGCTTTTTGTTTTCCCAAAATCAACGCCGCAGTTGGGATAGACTCGGCAAGCGTCACCTCCGAAGCTCGGCAAAGTTTGCCATTGGGGCTTGGGCGTGTCAAAAATGCAACACAGAAACGGCACGTTTCACAGCCAAGGCACCCATGAGGGCATCCAGGAGGGCTCTGTTCCGGTTCATGGAGGGCGTCTTCAAAGGTCCCACCCTGCGACGTCCTCAGCTGAGACTCACAGAACTCAGCCCGCAGAATCGCCTTCAATCCTATGCCTCTTTCAAGAGCTGCGTCTGGCAATGGCTTGCTACACATCTAAGGGTAGCTTCCATTTCCATTCGTAACCCAGGGATCCGGATCTTGCAAGAAAACCACGAAAAACAACATGGGAAACCGCGATCGGTTTTCGAAAAGAACGATGGTTGAACAGAATGGGGAATCAACCCCTAGAACACAGCTCTTTCCCTCCAACAATCACGGAGGTATTCCAGATAAGACCTGGAATGATTGCCCTTCCCAACTCACTGAACGCAAATGCGCTCGTGGAATAGTTTAAGAGGAGTGGCGCACTATTCCAGGCTCACCTGAAGGCGGACGCCATGTAAAAATGCGGCTCACAAATGCAGTCCCTCTCGCTCTGACACTTGGGAGCATGTTGCAGCTCAGTAACGATGGAGCGCAAGATGCTCACTTCTGCAAGGCCAATCGGGAGACTGCATCGAAAGCGTCGCATGAGACTTGTGGCATGGTTCTTGACTACTCCAACATCTCCGGCAAAATGAACTGAAGAACATTCTCCCAACACAAGGCTCAAAGTTCAGATTCAAAACATAACTGTCCTGCCAACACCAGCAGCAACACCCAGGCTAGCTTTGCACCCTTCGGTGTCTGAATGCCACACAGTGGAAGCTTCAGGGGGCGGCAGACTCTAAACTTTCGGTAGGGACACACTGGCGCTTGTTTCTATGAGGGTACTCTGATTTATGTTGGTTGGAAGGGACACCATAAGAGGACACTCACCTTTTTCTCTCGATTTCTTTGGGGGAGCGGGGGACGTCTCTTGGAAGTCCAACTTGGAAGGTGGCACAGCTGTCGACTCAGACAAGCTACTATAAAACTACAAGAGTGCCAAGGAGCTTCCTGGCCAACAACAAAATGGGCGCTCGAAAATCCATGGTCAACATGTCGATAGGCCTGTGCAACATTCACCTAAAACAATGATAGAAGGCTGGACCGCCTCAACAGAACTCAAAAGGTGGCCAACCATGAGCATTGCCCTGGGGCCATGCAAATGAGCCGATGAAAATACCCCATCTTATTGTATTACCGTGCCAAGCGGTCTTCAAAACGACCGCGCCAAACCCAATGTGCTACAAAGTGTCTGAAGCCAAAGCCCAATTTATGTGGATTGTCTGGCACTGTGCCGTTGTTGCTGTTTTGTTCCTTCTTTCTTTTTTCTGACTGCTAACAGCGGATCGCCGTGTTGCCAGTCTCATGTCCGAGCACACGAAGATTCAAGGGGTGGCGCATAACAATTCAACTGAACCAGGGCACCACGAAGCAGGCAGCCTGGTGTATGATCAAAAAAGCAGGGGTTTGCCTCATTCGAGGACCGCCGAACGTCACCGAATTTGGTGTTTTTATTTGGCTTCCCCAGAAAGTCGCCCCAAATGGGTACTACAAAACACATACATGCAGAGACACACCGACACACAAATACACACACAAAAACACACACACACATGCACACGCACACATGTACACACACACACATGCACACATACAGACACATACACACACACACACACACACACACACACACACACACACACACACACACACACACACACACACACACACACACACACACACACACACACACACACACACACACACACACACACACACACACACACACACTGCACACATACACACACACACATGCACACACACGCAAACAAACAACCAACCAACCAACCAACCAACCAAACACACAAACAAACAAACAACAAACAAACAACAAACAAACAACAAACAAACACTCAACAAGCAAGCAAGCAAGCAAGCAAGCAAGCAAGCAAGCAAGCAAGCAAGCAAGCAAGCAAGCAAGCAAGCAAGCAAGCAAGCAAGCAAGCAAGCAAGCAAGCAAGCAAGCAAGCAAGCAAGCAAGCAAGCAAGCAAGCAAGCAAGCAAGCAAGCAGCAAGCCAGCAAGCCAGCAAGCCAGCAAGCCAGCAAGCCAGCAAGCCAGCAAGCCAGCAAGCCAGCCAGCAAGCCAGCAAGCACGCTTGCTTGCAAGCAAGCGTATTTCAAACAAACAAAAGAACAAGCGCACGAACAAACAAAGAAACACACAAACAATTCACAAACAAAAAGAAACAACAACCAATCGAACAAACAAACCAACAAACACGCAGACACACAAACGCACAAACAATCAAGCAAGCAAGCAAGCAAGCAAGCAAGCAAGCAAGCAAGCAAGCAAGCAGGCAAGCAAACAAACGAGCAATCAAGCAAGCATAAAAAAAAAGCAAACAGAAACAACAAACAAGCGCACACGCACATGCGCATACACACATGCGCACATGCGCCCGCGACACCCGTGACGCACACACGCACCCACCCACCCACCCAGGCACGAACCCACCCACCCACCCACCCACCCGCCCGCCCGCCCGCCCACCCAAACACACACACACACACACAAATACGCACACACACACACATGCACGGTTTCCTATGCAAAGGAGATGTGGCCGAGACGCTGTCGAGCTATCGCCCTCGAATCCAGTGAGCCCCGCCCGCTCAGAGCCGAAACATCTGCAGTTATCCACGCAGACCCACCAACGGTATTCTCTTTCCCCAAGAGAACATCGGAAACACGAAGATGATGTCACCCATGTCATCCGCAAGCAGTTGACAATCCATCCGTTGCTCAAATGAGTCATAATCAAAACCCGGTAGTAAAATGGTCTACCCAGAACCATGCTTCAAGAATTAAGAAGGCGGATATGCCCACACTCACAAACTCCTGCAACCAATGCCAGAAATACCGGCACGCCATTTTAAGGAGATTCCTCTACTAAGACAGTGGTTTCTTGAGATCCATGTGAATCTGAAGGGGTGTGTCTCACAACACATCCAGGGACAACATGTGCAAATCTACGCCCAACTGGGTGGGTTGCTATTGGGGGGAGCCCCATCCTAATCCGGGTGGGACACCTACCGCAGAAGCCACCGCCAGGCAGTGGAATTACTCCGCTTCGAATGAACGTGGAACACCTGCCAAGTGCTTGCAGAGCTCCCGTTCGCTCCTTGGGTGTGGGTCAAAAATATGGTAACCCCAAAATGGGTTGCCCGATCGGTAAATGGAAACATGGACATTCAAACCATATGTACCCAAAATGGGTTGCCCTGGTAAACAAACCTGCGGTCCAATTCCCGGTGGCTTAATTTTGAGCCATGCCCCCTTCGCTCCCTGCACGGTAGACACAACCCATGAGGAATCGCTTCTTGGATCTATTTGGCAGGTGAATTCACCACCCATTTTAGGCTTCCTATTTTAGTGGTTGGATTGAATCGGATGTTCACGGTACGATTTGGATTTTGACCCATGGCCATATGTGTATGGTTCAAAATTAATCCACCAGCAAACCACAGGTTTTAGTCATTGGTTTTAGTCATTGTTTCCATTTGGCTATGGCTCAAAAAACTGGTACCAAAATGGAACCCTGGTAAATGGACCCAAAGACCAAAACCCGCGGTTTGCCCCTCCTGTTTAATTTTGAGCCACAGCCATTTACCGATCGGGCAACCCACTTTGGGTACCTATGTTTGACCCACGCCCATTTGGGTTCTATAACTTGCAGCGTGAGCAGCCCGGCCTCGTGGAGGACATCGATGGCTGTCACCAGCGCCTGACCAAAGTTGAATCGATCCACACGCTCAAAAAGTTGGGACAGCTGAAAAGGAGAGTCATCAAAACCGATCGGTATTAAAATGGTCGGGACCCTGAACCATGTATAAACCAACGGCGGTGAAGGCACCCATGGTTGGGATGATCCCTTCTAATCTTCATCTACCAGGGTTTTGAGGCCGTGGCTCAAGTGTCCTTTACTTGAAGAGAGGCATCTGCCTACGAAAGAATCCAGGAAGTCGTGACTTCTCGGCGTCCAAATCCAGCCCAAGAAAGGCTACTTAAAGGGCGTTGTGCTGAGGCAGTGGGTAACTGGGCTGCCCGTTTTCCGATCCGCTAAAAGTGACTAAGTCTTAGTGGGTTAAAATGGAAAGTACCACTCAACCAACTAAAAGCCTAAAAAGCTAGGACGGCTAGGAGCCACCAACATAACCATGGTCATTAAGTATCCTGCCCCTTTGAGCACCCTCAACAAAAGTCAGATCAGTCGTGCTGCGTGACCTTGATAAACCTCAAGATATCGGCCTTGGGGCCGGAAGCAACCTCAATCTGGATGGAAAGGGGTGTTGCGGAAAAAAGGCCCCCTTTCTGGTTGGAAGGAAACCGAAAGGAAACCAACTTGCCATCTTGAGAAACACACGAATAGCTGTTCCCCCCACTTTCCAACATGGAATTGCACATGCTCCCTTTCCAAAAAGACAGCCGTCCGAAAGAAATCTGCGAGTGCGGTTGCTGCAAAGGTAAGCAGCTAAAGAAGAATGCCTCCGACTGTTGGACGAAGCAACACATGGGCGCGGCGTGCTTTGCTTTTTTTAACGGGACTCTTCCGTTTGGTTTCCCATCAAAACCAACCAACAGGGGGGACGTATAGAAAGAAGACACACCCACATGAGTCAGATGAGATTTAGCCCCCAAGTCAGAAAGCTTCCTCATTGATTTGCTTTGACAGCGATCAGAGTCCTGAGTCCATGTGGGTGTCCCCTTTTTCCTGCTTGCCCCCGTTGGGTTGGTTTAAAGGGACACCAACAGGAAAACACACAGATATATTTTTTGGGGGGTTCCCCCCCCCAAAAAAAAAACACACCCATGTTTGGTCGTCCTTGACTGTCGCCATAAACTCTCTAGCGGGTTGGAGTTGAACATGAGACTCTCACTATAATGGGTCGGCCCGGAATAGCACCAGAATGATTGTAGGGCTATGAACATTTGATATCTTCACTTGACAGTTCGAATTGCATGGTCGCGGAACCTGCAAAGCGTTCTCCCACAAAAAAAAGACACCGAAGATCATAGGTTTTCCGCTTCTGTTTCATATTTGGGTATGGGTCAAGATTCAACCACCTGGATAGAATGCAGGCTTCGGCTCTTGTTTGCATTTACCAGTGCAACTCGTTTTGGACCCACACCCATTTAGTCTACTCACCTACCTCCCCAGCGGATGGCCTGAAAAAAGTCCAAACTAGTTACTTACCACTAAAACTGTCTTTCCAAAAAGCCAGGAACTCAGGAAGCGAGTCTACCTCAAAGAATAGTTTTCGTTTTGGGCTCGTTTTTCGCCCCATGCTTGGCGCGTTTTGTTGGGCCGTTCCAATTCGGCCTGCCGGCACTCATCGTGGTTTCGGGCGTTGGCGTTCTCGGCCAGCTCGTCCGCTATGAGGTACAAATACTGGCGGCGCTAGGCAGCCGTTGGTTTTTGCTTTCTCCAGGGAACCAACAAATGGGTTTTGGTGTCCCCTCCAGGTAACCACAAAAACGGGTTTATGGCAGTTAGGCGTCTTTTTGCTTTTTGGCTCGGAAGCAACCATCTTTTTTGTTTTTCTCCAGGGAACCAAACATGGGCTTATGGCAGTTCCATGGGTTTATGCCTTGTTTTTTGGCTCGGAGGCAAACTTTTTTTCTCCACCTAACCAACCATGATTAGACTTAGGCCCAGTTATAGAATGTACACTCTATTGTTTGCTTCCCTTTGAGTCACTGGTAAAATGTATCCTAAGTCTACCCCAGCAACCATGGGTTTTGGTTTCCCTCCAGGGAACAAACAAAGCGTGGGTTTAGGGTACATGGTCCAAGGGTCTGTTTCTGAAGCATAAACAAGTTTTTTTTCCGTGGGTTTAGGGTGAGTATGTCTTTTTGGAGAAGACATGTCTTTGGTTCTCATTTCTTTTGGCTTCCCTATAAAACGTAGAAAAACTTGGTTGCTCTTGACCCCCAGGCAAACAAAATATGTTTTTGGGGTTTAGTGGAAAACACCTTGATTTCCCAAAAAGTTAAATTGACAAGCATTTCCGTTGTAAGCCACACGTGACCTGAGTTGGCAGAGAGATAAACACGTCTTACCCCAGGCCAAAACCTGGCGCACCATTTTGAGACAGGACACACATTCAGTGTGTGTCCAAAAAATTCCAAACCCCGGAAAAGGGGCCGTGTTTTTATTCTTTTTTGTTTTCCTTTTTTTAATCGTTCCCCCCCCTTTTGGTTTCTGCATTCTGAGTAAAGGTGGTCAGCAAAGACAATCTTGGCACCCGTCATTCTCTCCTTTCCTCAAAACACCAAACATATGTTGACAGGTCTTGGAAGGTGCTGGATGATGTCGTAATGTCAAGGTGAAGGCCAGGGCATTTTGTCCATTTTCAACAAGCTGGGTTGTTCCCTGAGCAAAAGGTCAGCAAGAGGTCGATCACCTTTTGTACCAACTCCGGTAAACTGTACACCAGATTGCCTCCAAGCCACTTTGCGCGGTGGTCAGGTAACGTACAGGAAAAGATGTTTTTCCCTAGTCTGATCAGCGTTGCCACAGTGCGTGTCCAAAGACATAGCTTCTGGCTGTGTCTCAACATAGTGATCCCCTTAAAAAAAAAACGTACTTTTCCTTTGGCGGCTCTATAACTACGAACAGGGGGTCCGGGTGTCGAAAGAGCTCATACCCGGGTTGTTCTCAGATCCCCCGCTGAAAGCTTAAGCTTTGGGGTAAAATGGAAAACCCCACTAAACCAACTAAAAGGATCTAAAAAGCTAAGGAACCGCATGGCTGGGGTGAGGGGTTGACTGGAAACCACCACTTGAAGTTGACGTCGGAAGAGGAGCAAAAATTGGGAAAAACAGATTAGCGGAGTGAAGTGGATTTGGATTTCAACCACTAAACCACAATAAGCAAAAATACGTAAAATGTTTCCCAACAACAGCCAAGACCAAGATATGGCACTTTGGGAAATAAGACACAGCATGCGGATCATCTCAATCCAGCCTGCTTCTTGTCTGGGCGGTTCTTCAGCCGAGCATACCTGTGCAACTCCTTCATTGAGCAACTCTCAAAAAGACAGGTCCAACTCCCTTCTTCACAGAACGATGTGTGGTTGTTGAGAAGAATGGTCATGAGTGGCATTTGCTCTGATGCTGAAACAACATGTCGAATGCGGTTCATCTAGAAACTCCCGTCTCATTGAATGATCAAACAAGAGAGGCATCCAAAGTGATTGGTTTCCTGCTGGCTTCTCTTTCAACCAACCTTTGGACAACGAGCTACGGACAACAAAAAACACTAACAAACAAGCAGAAGGTTTCCCTCTGGTTTCCCCTTCAACTTTCAACTTTCAACCTTTAACAAAGAGGCAGGGATTAAAAAAAAACAAAAACAGAAGGTTTCGCGCTGGTTTCCCTTTCAACTTTCAACCTTTAGACAAAGAAGTACGGTCAACAAAAAAACACACAAACAAACAAACAGAAGGTTTCCCGCTGCCCCAAAAAGAGGTAGGGTCAACACTTTCTCCGTCCAGGCTCTTGGCTCGACCTTCATTTTCGTTGGTCGGGGACCAAAGTTATTTCTAGTGGTAGATTTCGTTTAAACCCAACGAGGGGAAAAGATATCAATTCCAAAGCAAATGGAAGTTCGGGGGGAAAAGCAGATGTTCCAAAGCAAATGGAAGTTTGGATTGAGGTCAACATTTGCCTTCTCTTTGATTGCATCTCACTCGCGAGGGGGATAACACAGATCTCAGATGTGAATTCCCTTTGTTTCCTGTTCTTTTTTTGCGGGGTACAATCTCTTGTGGGGCGGGTTGAAGGGGACATCAACCGAAGAACCGTTGCGCTATTTGGGATCTAAATTTTGATGCTGGGAGTGCCTCAACTACGCGTACTTCGAGAAGAGCAAACTGAGGTTCCCCAAACTTTGAGGCAACCCAAACCCCAAATCGGACAGTCTTCTTCTTTTGAGAGCCACCGAAACCATTGGTTTTGGGGCCCCCCAATTTTGAGGCACGTCCAAATGAACATGTCTTCGTTTGACTGTACCCTTTTAAACTTGCTAGTAAGGAAAACAAACAAACACAATCCATTTTGAGGCGGTGCTCTGGGAGCCAAAACAAACCGTTTGGTATGGACGCCGAGCACTGTGGATGGACGAATTCCGGTCGCACCACGAAATGAATCGGTGGTTGAAACTGTTGTTGTTGGCAACAGGGGTTCGTCATTCCAGGGTTTCTGAACGGTGGTGCATAATTTCGTCCATCGAAAGTAGTTGGGTATCTATGTCTCAACATAGGGGAGCCCTCTTTCTTATGCTTCTCGAAAACATCACCCGTTGGGGCAAATCAAAATTATTTTCTGGTAGAGTGTTGTTTGAAGGGGACATACAAGGAAGCCAGTTTTCAACAACCCAAAAGCCGACTCCGAGATAAAAAATGGGTGTGCCTGATTTTCAAGGTACCATTTTTGGTCTACGTGAATCACTGATTTTGGGGGTTCCAAAAACTGGGCTGTTTTCAGATCCCCCGCTAAAAGTGCCTAACTTTTAGTGGCTTAAACTCCGAAATCCCAACCACTAACTCAGTTGCCCAAAGGACTTGAAACTCAAAGGTTAACCTTTTCGGGCCATGACAAAATCTGGACCAAAATTGGGAAAACAACAAGGCCAAAAGGTCGATTCGCTTTGAACAACTGAGCTAAACGCAACAAAAAAATCCGAAAAGCTACCGGACCGGAACACTGGGAGACAAGAACACCACCGACTCAAAAACTCCTCGGTGTCCCATTTACCCACAACCGAAGCTTCAAATCCCTCAAATCCCTCAACCACCACTCCAAAACACCAAGCCTGAAAACGCCCGAATGTTTTCGGGGGTCCCAAAGAAAAACGACCACCCATCCAAACACCCCTGGGGGGTGACCGAATCCTTTCGCGTACCACCACCCATCCAAACCACAAAACCTGGGGGGTGACCGGCTCAAAAAATCCAACGCGTCCGCTCGCTTGCGTCCCGCGTCCAAAACCTGCGCACTTGCCCACCAGGTTGGGGATCTCACCCTCCTCGAGGACTCCGCGCACTCTGACCCACCTAGCTGGATGGATGGGACTTTGAAAGAGGCAACCCCCTTGGGTTTGTCAGCAAAAATGCGGCTGTCCTGTGTCTCGTGTTTTTTTTCTTTTTTTGGGCGGGCAACCCACCAAACAGGATGGCTTTGGGGTTTCCTGCTGGTTTCCTTACCCCCCCCCCTCCTCCCGCAAAAAGAAAGGGAGGAAAAAAAGAAAGAAGGGTCAAACATTGGGCAAACCCAAAATGGAACTGTGGTAAATAGAAACATAGACTAACATCTGCGGTGCGGTGGTTTAATTTTTATCCACACCCACATGCCCCGCTTCCCTGCACCTTTCGAGGTGCTTCCTTTAGGGCATAGAAATTGGCTTTGTCTTAGACAGGGGGAACCAAACAGATGGTGCCATAAACTAGAAAAACACATGGCGCCCTAAACAGAAAACTAGAAAAACTAAAACTAAACACATGTGAATGGCCAGCTACTCAAACTAGACAAACAGAAGGAAAAGAAGGTCAGCTTTGGGCAACTGAGCTTTAAATTAATTAGCTTCTCTCTCAGCGGCTTGGATTGGTTTGCTGGTTAAGTGGCTTGCCGGTTAAATTGGATTTGTCCATGGAAAAGCTAGCTCTTGAAAATGACTACCCTAAAAAAAGAGGAAAAACAACTTTGCGGGGCACCGGATGGCTGGTTGAACCAAGGAACTTGCGTTAAACCAACCTAAACAGATCTAAAACTGGCCTCAGTATTTTACCATGATCAACTTCACCCCCTAAGTGATGGGAAACAACCGCAGTTTCTGACTTTGAAAATCAGTAGAAACCGTGAAAATCATGACCCCAGTAAAAAGCTTTCCGGACCTAGATGGACCACCAAGGATTCTCGGCTTCCGCGCGTAGGCACCTCTGGCCGCGTATGTCTCTCCAGGCGGTCCGTGGGCAAGTGGCCCCGGTTCACCATGACGGTAGAGCCGTCCTCTGTCGCTTCGGGGCCCCAAAAAGAAAGAATGGCTACTTGGGGGTGAAGGGCATTTTCCCATCAAAAGCAGAGAATTATGACAGCTCAGCCTTATTTAGGACTTATTTACCCCTAATTCGCCTGGGTTCTTTGGTAGAGAGGTTAGAATAAGGGCACCAACTCTTTTTCTGGAGTCTATTTTACTAGGGGGACTCTCCCCCAAAAAAGGGGTGAGAAAGGGCACTACTGGGGGACTTGTTTGTAGGAAGGGCCATTTTCCCTCAGAAGCAGCTGGTTGAGATGCAACGAGCGTGGCAAAACCCCGCGATGCTGCTGCCGTGCGCTTTGCAACTATTGTTCTAACCAATCTAAGTCCTAAGAGGATTCATTCAGCAGGGTTATCACCACTTGCGTGCCGATTTGATCGCTCTTAGCATGTTTTTTGTATGTCTCTTTTGAGGCTACCTTTTCCCAGGTTTACAAATAGCTTCTCCTGGGTGGTTTTGTGGAGAAACCAAAAAGGAAACCACTCATTTGGAGGGTGTTATTTTGTCGACCCTTAAAGTCTTTGTGTTTTTTCAAAGGGACACCCTTTAAGGCCAACCACCAATTTCTGTTTGGGGTACCCCAAAAAAAGAGAGCAAACAACACCTATGTCATATTTTGCCCCCCCCCCTCAAAAAAACACACATACACACACAAACATACCAAAAAAAAAAACAGACACACACACACAGACATGCCCAAACAAAAACCACACGCACGCACACACACACACACAAACAAGAAAGAAAGACAAACAAAAACGGTCGGCGCTTTCTCGCTCCTCCAGGCGGAGGGGCGTCACCACCAGCATGCCCGGCACCGTCTCGCCCATGTCATCGGTGCCCGGGCGCGGGCCGATGAACATCTCCTGCGCCGCGCGCCGGCGACCGCCAAAGGGGCCATGGGTCAAAACCCGGGTTAGCCCCCAGTGAACGGGACCGATTCAATCCAACCACTAAAATAGGAAGCCTGAAATGGGTGGTGAATTCACCAATCCCAACCAAAATGGGATCCCAAAACGGCTTTGACAACCACAGCCAAAGGACACGCGCCACGAGGGAAGACTTGGGGCGATTCCTTGTCGGCACGCCAGGTGACTGAACCGGTGGACATTTTTCACCATGGAATTGTTTTAACCCACTGAACGGAGACTGAGAAACCATGCTACTCAGGCCAAACCCAAAACCAAAAGCCCAAACCACCCATTTCGCGGGGTTTCAAAAAACAGATCCACCCGACTCCGAACTTCTGAGCAATGCGACTTGGCGATTGGGTTTTCCGAGGCATTTTTTTTCTACCCTCGCGCTCGTTTCAATGGACCAGATTGATCTCAACTTTTGAAGGGGAAATCGGAAATCCCTTCGTGACTCCAGGAAAAGGGGACCGGTCTTCAGACTCCTGAATTTCACATGATCGCATGATCGCATGATCGCGTCTGGTCGTTGCACAACACGCCGTTCTTTTTTTTTCCAAGCCTGATTCAGTTTGTTTTCTTCTTTAAACAACCCTTGGAAAGAACTCCCAGGTTTGGACCTTATCCTCAGTTGCCTTGGATGGGACCAAAAGACGAAACATGAAAAAAACAACACCTTGCTCCTCCAGGTTAGAATAAGGGCACCCTTTTTTCTGTAGTCTATTTGCGTAGGGGAACCCTCCCAACCAAAAAAGGGGTGAGAAAGGGCACCTAGCTAGGGGACCTAGACACAGGGTCAAAGGGAATCAGTTTCTCCCTGAGTGGTTGGAGTGGCTTGCTGGTTCGGAGGTGTCCCAGTTAAATTGGAATGGTTCATGCGAAAGCTGGTTTTTGCAAAACCACATCCTGGAAAAACGGTCTTGTATTTGGAGTATGGATTATATCGGCTTCCCTCTAATTGGTGGTTTCGAGATTGGTTTGGAGAGTGCGGTTTGGTGATCTGGGCTGTCCTCAGATCCGCTTGATTTCTATTGACTGAAATGGAAGCCGTGGCACAGCAGCTAAAGAGCTAAGCTCAGGAACCGGCCGGCTGGGGCACCAGAACGGTTAGAATAAGTTGGTACCAACTTTTTCTGTAGTCAAAATATTGACACAAAGGACACTCCACTGCAACTACTTCCTCCAGTAGAGAGCTTAGAAGAAGTTGGTACCCGACTTTTTTCTTTTTGGTCTAGTTTAGTAGGGGAACCCTCCCAACCAAAAAAGAGTTAAAAAGGGCACCTGGGCACCAGAGCGTAGTTCTTTTCCGCTGGCCTCTCCGAAGGTGTTCACAGCAAAAATACGCCGCTCGAAGGACCACGCACTTTCACCCCAGGCGTGAATACAAATTAAATTGGCTTGAATATGGGCAATAAGGGCATGAACCAACAAAACCATAACGCTTGCAATATATGGAAAGGAACACACCTCTTTGATGACAACCTCTTTCAGTCAAATTCATTTTTCAGATCAGCGATTCAAGGCTAGCCATGCGGAAGCTCGCAAGCTGGCTGAGTTCTGGGATGGACTCGCATTCAGGGATGCTTCACTGTGACTCCCCTTTGGTTCAGTAGCAAAAGGAGCTTTGTTTGTCCCAAGTACTACTTGCAGGACATGCTCCGATTGGAACATGCCTGTCATTGGCTTGTTCGTACAGTTGCAGAAAGCAGCACTGCTTGCAGCGTCTGGATGCAGCATCCATATTTGCATCAATACATCAACATCAACTAGCAACATGTCCTAGCAGTTGTGCATTTTTTGAGGGCACCCTGTTGGACACTGGCATAAGAGAAGCCCAAAAACATGGGAATCGAAACATCTATCCACATCTAGTTGCCTAGGATTCCAAGTCAAGATTTGCCACAGCCTCCGACTACTGCCCAAACGGCAGTAAATAGAAATTTCCAAAAAACGACCGTAGTTAGAAAAACTACTGTCAATTATGTTATTTGCGGGATGCCCATAGTCTAGCTACTGCTAGCTACTGGTTACAACGGGGAGATACCATAGCAGGGGTGGTAGCAATCAAGGGGTGGCAGCAAGTGCAGCAAGCGCCTCACAGCGTGTCACAGCGTGTCACCCCGTGTCACTGCGTGTCACCTACGTGTCACCCCGTGTCGCCCCCATGTCTCCCCGTGTCGCCCCGTTTCGCCCCGTGTCGCCCCCGTGTCACCGTGTCACCCCGTCACCCCGTGGTTTTGTTTTTCACTGTTTGGGGCAACATGAAACGACGGTAGATCGCGGATCCACTGTCGTTTATGTTATTTTCGGAACTACTGCCAAATACCCGGTAGTTCCGAAAATAAAATTTAGACGGTAGTCGGAGGGTGCTGGTAGTCCCCGATTTGCGTCCTCTTCCTTCCTTCCTTCCTTTCTTCCTTCCTTCCTTCCTTCCTTTCTCTGCCGATTTTTGGGGGCTCGCAAAAGAAGCTGCTCTCCTGCTCCGTACATTTGGGGATGGGTCTTCCATGGGGTCAACCGGCTCCCTGGAACTCCTGGTCGTGGTCAAACACGCCTCGCACCTGGCCGAACTCGCACCAACTGCCAGTGACCCAGATGGCTAAGGGCTCCATGTCAGAGGTTCACAAACAGACATCCGTGCATGTGACAAAAGACGCTCAGTGGCCCACGCACAAAAGGCGAACCTTTTGGGGGTTGTGAGTAAAAATGGGTAAATAAATGGGAAAACCAAACATGTCAGATCAAGTCGATTCACTTTGGGAAACTAAGTGCGGAAGATTACATTAGGCTATCGGGCGACATGTTTTCATCTGGCCCTTGGCCATGGCGCAACGCCCACAGCTACTGCAATGCCACACGTGCCGTAGGCGTTTTTCGAGAAAAGCCACGTGGCTTTTCTAAACTCCAGGATTGAAGAAGTTCAGCGCGTTTCCCAACCTCCAGGTTTGAACTCTGAGCTTTGCGAGAAATGCAGTATCTTAACCCATCCAGGGCTGCGGGAACAGGACAAATCAGCGTTTCGCCCAGGCGAAGCGCACGTGTACAACACAAACCCCCAACTCCTTCTTCGCTCACCTCGCGCGGAAACGCAAGTCAGCCCCGCTGGTTTCAAAACGCGGATTCAAAACGTGGATTCAAAACGTGTGCTTTGTCTCAGTAAAATGCTGGCTTTCAAGTGAGCCCACTTTACTGGTTTGACCCATCCTGGAGTTTCCAACAAACGCCCCAAAGCCCAGCCCACCCAAGCTCTCCAGCTGTCTTTTTCGCTCCCTGTGCCTGGTCGGTAAGTAGGGACCATCACATAGTCTTTCCCAAAAAGTGAGCAAGAATCATCAAGCAAACATCACATCCACCCAATCAACTATCCCAGATACCACGTGCTCACCGGGAAAACAAAAAAATAGGCACGGGGAAAGCTGGGCCCGAATTGTAAAAACGGAGGAGCATGACCAAGGCAAGAAAAAAACAACATGTCGACACTGAGGCGCCCCATCCTGAACCGAAAGGCATCACGAGCGTGGTCGTCACGACGGAACTTTCTCCCGTCACCCTCACCCAAAACCATCACGCCCCTCCAATCAACAAACCGCTGAGGCCCAGCGTTCTATCAAAAAATAAGCCTAAGGGTGTCGTCTTCGGAGTTGGCACCTTTTGAGTTTGGTTTAAAGGAAAGCGAATAGGAAGACCAAACACCATTTGCTTTGTCCAAACGCCTATTTTGGCACATGCTTGCCAAACGGAGAACCCACGCACGACATGTTAGCCAAACGGAGAGCCCACAACTGACGTTCGCCTCAACGACTCGGTAGATGTAGTCTTGAACCTGGCTCATGGCTGCGTCTAACTGGGTGTCTCGAATTGGCAAACCTCCTTTTCAGCTGATTTCAGAGAGGGAAACCTACAGGACACCCACAAATAGTCGGACCTATTTCAGGACCACTTGGAAAATAAACAGGGATCCTTACATTATACACCTGAACATTGCCTTGTCAACGCTGGTTTCCCTTCATTTCGGTGGAAAAAGCAATGATTCAAACGGTTGCAAAATGTATCTTTTAAGGAGCCCTGATAAAACTGCGGCCTTTGCAGCTGCAAGCCATGCCGAGAGCTCTCACTGCCCCTTGGTACGGAATTCCATTTGCGCTAAGATCTCACACAAAGACCTTCTCATGCATCCCAGAGGGCTCAACTGAAAACAACGTTGTTTGTTTTTGGCGCTTAGGTACCTCAGGGAAGATGTGACGAGGGACCTCTGCAAAAAGGCCCTTCCAAGAAGAAAGTCGTCTTTCTACAAAGGTCTGTGCACAAACCCATGTTAGCTGGGGGGGAGCTATCGGTACCCGTTTTTCTGTCGTCTATTTTAGTAGACGAAAACCCTCCCAACCAAAAAAGGGGTGAGAAAGGGCATGATCCTGGGGTGGCTATCCCTTGCTAACCCCCACAAGGCCTTCTTAAGCGCTTTACCCTTGGCGTATCCTGGGCTCCGGCTCACAGAGCCCGGGTCCGTCCGTCCAACCATCCAATCCATCCAATCCGGGGTTGACCCATTTTCGGGAGGCCAAACAAAAACGGAGCATCCGCCACATGGGTTACCACGGGGATTTATCCTTTGGTTCAGAGAGTGGCTAAAAAAACACTAAAATTACTGAGTTGTTCAATAAACAATGATTTATTGTTCTAATTTATATCAATAGCTAAATAATAAAAGGTATATTATTATATAATAGTAATAAATAAACTAATCTAAGAGGTGAATCACATAAATTTATTAGTGGTAAGCTACCAGACCAAATGGGGAAAACAAACCATCCTTTTCAGCAGATACAAGCAGCCAATGACCCCCATCCTTGAAGGATCGACTGCTCTACCCAATTCGTGGAAATACTTCACGATGTGCTTGTAGTACACGCGGCAATGCTTAAGGCACTGGACTGTCAATTTCAATGCAGAAGCATCCTGAAATGGTCTGAAGTGACTCGGTTTCCTACCAAGCCAAGGGCAACACTACTCATCACAATCATCAAATATACCAATCATAATCATTGAGTCATAAGAAGAAGACGAATCATAAATTCAGAAGCAACCATGGAAATTTGATTCGATGTTCCATATTCTATGTTGTGCCATTCCATGAACTATTCCTTCCAAGTAATCACAACATATTCATGAACCATATTCATGAAACGAGTAATAGTATGCACCACTTTAAAACCATGGTTGAAACCACTGTTTTTTTTTGTGTTTTTTTACAGGGGAATCGAATCATTCTATGGTTTCTCAGGTGATGCGAAATGGATTTCGCAACCATCCATAGTATGCTTACACGCTCACACAGGGATCCTTACAAAAAAACACCTGAACATTGCAACTTGTCTATTTGGTGGTTTCCAGCTTTCTTTTGGTGTTGAAAAAGCCAGCCATGTAACTCAAATGGTTGCAAAATGGAGATCTTTTAAGGAGCCCTGTTACATGCTTACGGTTTTTTGGCTGGCGTCAGGAGTCTGGAGTCAGGAGCCTGGTCCTTCCAGGGAAAGGGGCTGCCGGCCACCTGCAAAGCGCACTGGGAAAGTGGAGCGGAAGCGGCCCGGTGTTTTTTCAGACTCCCAATGGGGAAGGACGCCAAAAGCTGAAAACGGAGAGAACACGGCGTCTTCCGAAAAAGGGGTTTGTTTGAAGCTAACAACCAAGAGAAAAAAAGGGGTCTTTCCAAAAAAAACAACAACAACAACAACAACAACAACAACAACAACAACAACAACAACAACAACAACAACACACACACACACACTCACACATTGATATCTCTCTGCGTGTGCGGCGTGGTTGACTTTCCGAACCGCAAAAAACCGACACGAGGCGATCAAAAGGCGAGCATTGGAAGTGTCAAATGAATGCTAGCCCCGGAAAAGACAAAAACAACTGGCGGACAAAGTGGAGGGCGCTCCTTCCATAAGTACGATGACCGCTCACCTCTAAACAAACTAAAAAACACACTCCGCCAGGCCGGTAGGCCGGTAGGCTGGGCATCCCTATGTCGTGGGCACTTGCTGGAGCTTCCAGGTATAGAGCTAAACATGCGTGGAAAACAACGCATACGCCAAAAACTGCTGAAGCTGGTGATGTTCCTTCACAACAAGCAGTCGTGGAATCTTAGGGGGTGATGCAAGAATGGGTGGGGGGGGGGGGCTAAGCCTCCCTAAGGAACCCCTCCCGAAACGGGGTCTCGGGTACCTACGTACCTACCCCCCGTGAGGTACTTACCCTGGATGCTTGGGCCCACCAGTTCAGGCGTCAACTCTTGGAACTCACCGGCCCCCCAAAAATTATCTTAGAGGTCTCTCGCCAGGAATGCTCAAGAGAGTTGGCGACTCTTGCGGCCATCTGGTGGCTCCAAGCCATCCCATTCCTTAGGTTCAGAGCTTTTTGGGGTCCGCGTGTAATGGCAGCTTCCACTAGTCTTGACCCCGGATTTTTAATCACCCGTCCCATTAGGGGGGTGGAAACTCCTCCAAAAGTGGTCTGAATCCGCACTAAAAGGGGGCACCCCCCTATGAAAATCAACTAGGGGTTTATTGATCCGGGGTTAACATTAGCCACCATACCCGCTTCCGTGGTGCAGTTTCGGCCAACATGCTCGCAGAGTTGGTGCTTTGGCCTTTTGGGGGCGTATGGGTCACTCAAATTGGATGTCTTGCAGTGGGTTTCCCTCTAACCCCCATGTACCCGACGATCTATGTAGAAAGAACTGCTCCAGCTGGTAGGTGCAGGGGCCGCGCGAAGCAATCAGCAAGCGTTGAGGTCCCTCCGCTATTGAAGCAGCCAGCTAGTCTTCTTTTGAGGGTACCCTCTTTTGTGGGTTTTAAGGAGGACCAAAATCACAACCCCGATTTCGGGTCCCCTAAAAGAACACATCCCTACGGTGGTTGCAGTATTTGTTTCTCGCTTCGCATTCGGGCGATTGATCTTGTGCAAATATTGGCACGGTGTTGACAGTCCGTATCAAAGATGCTTTGCTCCGGCACATCCAAACACAGTATGTTTCAACGCCTTTGGGTTTGTCCTTTTTCGAGGGCATACCCGTTTTTTGGTGAGGACTTTTCGAGGGAAACCACGAGTTGAACACCAACGTTTTCCATTTGGGAGGGGTCCAAATCCGAACAAAAAGGGCCAAGGCCGAAACGGCAAGGAAGCCACTTCTTGCAGGGACATATTGGTGACTGGTTACTGGAACAAAAATGATGATAGACGTGCAAAAAGGGAGGATTCGGTCCAAAGTGTCCTCAACAGATTTGCCCTCAAAATCCCCCCCCCCCACCCAACCCTCACACCCTCCACCCCCAAACGTGATTCTGAGAACCACTCAACATCGCAAAGACTTCCCCCACGGACCCCCCAGACCAAACCCCAAAGACTGACTATGACAGCCGAACCTTGTTTAGGGGAACCCTCCCCCAAAAAAGAAAAGGTGGGCACTACTGGGGGTCCTAGTTATTTCTCACCTGCTGAGTGGATGGCCCAAAAAAAGTCCAAACTTTATATTTGGCACTAAAATGGTCTTCACCAAAAGTTTAAAGTTCATGCACTCAGGAAGTGAGATTTAGGAGTTATTTCCCACCAATTTCCTTTCTAGGCTATTTTGGGGTATGTTCCCGGGGTCCCGCTACAAAGCCCCCGCGCCAACTCCCGCGCCTTCACTCTGGGCATGGCCAGCCGCGTCCGCCGCATCTCGATGAGTTCCTTCTTCCACTTCATCCTGCGGTTCGTTCTTTCCCCCCCCCCCCCCCGTGGAGCCACAAGCACTCCTAATTGCGTCTTAAGGTGGTGGTCTAAAAGGGGCGGTGGTCTAAAGTCGCGGGAAAGTGACTAAAATTCTCTGGATTTCCTCTGGCTTTGTTGTGTTTGATGAAACTTGGCCGCCACATCAGCACCGCCCTGATGAAGCCGATGATGCTTGCCCAAATGGTTTTGTTTAGCAGTGGCTCTTGCGTATTGTACATGATGCCGACTTTGTACAGGTGTTGTGTATCTTTGGAATATGTATTGTTAAGCTATAAGATGTTTGCATATACATATAGTGGCATACATAGTGCTTCCTTGACAACATTGGGGATCTTTCTAAAACGAGAAACTAACAAGTTTAAAAAAAGAGGCCAGGGTTTGTGCAACTGGGAACGAGCCAAAATAGTTGGCAATGTGTCCAAATCTGAGGTCCAAGAATATTTGAAATCCCCTATGACTGTGCATCTGAAAACCTATGCTAATTTCCCAACCAGAAGAAAGGCACCCCGCATGAGCTCAATCGGCATGAAAATTGATTAGAATTATGTTCTCACGGAGAAACAGAAACTGCAACTCCTTTGCAGATTTCCATGGAACCCCAAAAGCCATTTGCAAAGGAAACTCCTGTTGGGCCCTTTTCTGGGGTCGATTTGTCAATTTGCAGGTGCACCATCGCCGCGCACGTTCTGTTCCACCCCTGCCTCATGGTTTCTGAGGGTGCCCCAAAAGGCAAGCCACAATTATTTTTGGGGTTTCGACATCATGTCGTGCCTCAAGAAGTACTCCGGAGTGTTTCCAACACCCCATAATACGGGTCCAAGTGCAACTTCAACAGCTTCGACTCTCCCACACAACCAACAACCTCTTCCGTTTGCTTGAGTTGCTAGCAAAAAATAAAAACACACATTTCCAGTAGCGATATATCAGCAGTGGAACATATCAACAGATATATATATATATATATTAACTATATTCTTAGTAGCAACCAGAAGCTCCATCGGCTTTCTGGTGATTTGCTTTTGCCCTTTTGCCTTTCGTGTGTCCTGCCTGGCGCGGAGAGTTTCGTGGTTGTCTAATCCGACGGGAAGATACGAAAGCGATTTCACGAAAATAATGTCCTTGCGATCGGTGTGAGAGATGCAGGGAATGAGAAATGACATGACCAAAAAAACATTTGTTGTGGTTTCCCTTGCGATCGGCGCGAGAGAGGCGATCGGGAATGAGAAATGGAGTCTGGGCCCGAGACAAAGCGGTGTCCGTTAAGGCGACCAAAGCCTGGGTTCATTCCCTACTGAGAACTAGCAAGTTTCTGGCCTCCGCATTTTTTGGCACCGCCCAAGCCGTGATTCCCAATGGAAATAAGGGAATCCCCGGCAACGCCCTTCATCAGCTCGCTTTACCCCACAGACCCGAACTCTCTTGCGGATCATCCGAGGAGTTTCCTTGACCCGGGAAGTTTTTTTGGCCCCGGTCCGCCCTCTACACAGCACAGAAGGAGAAAAGCCGGGTCTTTCCACCACCAAGCATCACCACCCCAGTTCAATCGCGTGTTCTTGCGGGCATCACCTGAGTTGAAAAACAACCCGGTGGACAACCCTTATATCCTTATGCCCTAGTATCGGTCAGTATCGTTTTTCCCTCAGCATCGGTTTGCAGTGTTTTGGCAGCTCCAGCTTGAAAACCGCGACTTTTCCGTACAAGTGCAGCGCACGAGGAACACTCTGGCAGCTCCGGCTCGAAAGTCGCAACGTTGGAGTGCAAGTGTAGTAGACAAAGTACATTTTGGCAGCTCCAGCTTGAAAGTCGCAACTTTTCACTACCAGTGTAGCACACAAAGTTCAAAGTTCCAGCTGGAAAGTTGCAAGCCTTCAGTAGCATACGAATTACACTTTGGCAGCTCCGGCTCGAAATTCGCAGCTTTTCAGTGCAAGTAAGTGTAGTATAGTAAAGGTATGTGCAGTACAATTTGGCAGCTCCAGCACGGAAGTCGCAACTTTTCAGTGCAAATGTAGTACACAAAGTACATTTTGGCAGCTCCAGAGAAGGCTGCAGGGCAGCTGGTTGGATTCGGTATGGCGGCTAATGAGTTGGGTATCGGTTGGGCATCGGTTTGGGTATCGGTTTGGGCCCTGCAAATTTATGATTCCGCAATCTTGGTTTGCGAGTACAACTTGGACCTGACGTGTGTATTCATGGCTTCCGGGGGTATCGTTTTTTTCTCCTCAGTATCGGTTTACAATATTTTGGCCTGCAAAACAAGTTAAAGGATAGCCCCCTTACATAACGAAAAGGCGCGGGGTTGTTTTCTCAACCCACCTAGAATTGGGGAGCAACGCCACTTTCTTCCAGTTGCTGTTGACCCCTCTACAAAAAGTTGTTTTCACTTTTCCTGGGCTGAATAGGGAAAATCCGCCTGCTGCTGGCTTCCATTGCAAAACCCCCCATAAAGAACCTGCATGAAATTCCCCCCCCATTTAGTTGTTTCCCCCAAATTTGTATAAGTGATCCATATCAACCAACAAGTTGAAGATCCACAGATCTGCTATCGCCGTAAGGATTTTCGTGTCCCCCCCCATCTCTTTCCTGACAAAAATTACTTCTTTCCTGACAAAAATGATTTCTTTCCTGACAAAAACGATTTCTTTCCTGACAAAAATGATTTCTTTCCTGACAAGAAATGATTCTTTCCGGATCAAAATGATTTCTTTCCTGACAAAAATGATTTCGTTCCTGACAAAATGACTTCTTTCCGGACAATAATAATTTCTTTCCTGACAAGAATGATTTCGTTCCTGACAAAAATGAATTATTTCTCGACAAAAAATGATTTCTTTCCTGACAAACATGATTTCGTTCCCGACAAGAAATGATGTATTTCCTGACAAAAATGATTTCTTGCCTGACAAAAATGATTTCCTTTCCTCACAAAAATATGTCTTCCTCACAAAAATGATTTCTTTCCTGACAAAAATGATTTATTTCCTGACAAAATTTATGTATTTCCTGACAATTGATTTCTTTCTCGACAAAAATGATTTCTTTCCTGAAAAAAAATAATGTCTTCCCTGACAAAAACGGTTTCTTTCCTGACAAAAACGATTTCTTTCCGCACAAAAATTATGTCTTTCCTCACGAAAATGATTTCTTTCCTGACAAAAATGATTTATTTCCTGACAAAAATGATTTCTTTCCTGACGAAAATGATTTCTTTCCTGACAAAAATGATTTCTTTCCTGACAAGAATGATTTCATTCCTGACGAAAATGACTTCTTTCCCGACAAGAAATGATTTCTTTCCTGACAAAAACGATTTCTTTCCTGACAAAAATGATTTCTTTCCCGGCAAGAAATAATTTCTTTCCTGACAAAAATGATTTATTTCCTGACAAGAATGATTTCTTTCCTGACAAAAATCATTTATTCCCTGACAAAAACGGTTTCTTTCCTGACAAAAATGATTTATTTCCTCACAAAAGTGTTTTCTTTCCTGACAAAAATGATTTCTTTCCTGACAAAAATGATTTCTTTCCCGGCAACAATGATTTCTTGCCTGACAAAAATGATGTTCTTTCCTCACAAAAAATATGTCTTCCTCACAAAAATGAATTCTTTCCTGACAAAAATGATTTCTTTCCTGACAAAAATGATTTCTTTCCTGACAAAAATGATTTCTTTCCTGACAAAAATCATTTCTTCCCTGACAAAAACGGTTTCTTTCCTGACAAAAATGATTTATTTCCTCACAAAAGTGTTTTCTTTCCTGACAAAAATGTTTTCTTTCCTGACAAAAATGATTTCTTTCCCGGCAACAATGATTTCTTGCCTGACAAAAATGATGTTCTTTCCTCACAAAAAATATGTCTTCCTCACAAAAATGACTTCTTTCCTGACAAGAATGATTTCTTTCCTGACAAAAATGATTTCTTTCCCGGCAACAATGATTTCTTGCCTGACAAAAATGATGATATTTCCTCACAAAAAATATGTCTTCCTCACAAAAATGATTTCTTTCCTGACAAGAATGACTTCTTTCCTGACAAAAAAGATTACTTTCCTCACAAGAAAGATTTCTTTCCTGACAAAAATGATGTCTTTCCTGACAAACATGATTTCTTTCCTGACAAAAATCATTTCTGCCCTGACAAAAACGGTTTCTTTCCTGACAAACATGATTTATTTCCTCACAAAAGTGTTTTCTTTGCTGACAAAAATGAATTTTTTTCCTGACACGAATGATTTCTTTCCTGACACAAATGATTTCTTTCCTGACAAGAATGACCTCTTTCCCGACAAGAAATGATTTCTTTCCTGACGAAAAATAAATTAATTCCTGACAAAAATGATTTCTTTCCTGACAAAAATGATTTCTTTCCTGACAAAAATGATTTATTTCCTGACAAGAATGATTTCTTTCCTGACAAAAATGACTTCTTTCCCGACAAGAAATGATTTCTTTCCTGACAAAAATTATGTATTTCCTGACAATTGATTTCTTTCTCGACAAAAATGATTTCTTTCCTGAAAAAAAATGTCTTTCCTGACGAAAATGATCTCTTTCCTGACGAAAATGATTTCTTTCCTGGCAAAAAGGATTTCTTTCCTGACAAAACTGATTTCTTTCCTGACAAACATGATTTATTTCCTGACAAATGATTTCTTTCCCGACAAAAATGATTTCTTTCCTGACAAAAATGATGTCTTTCCTGACAAAAATGATTTCTTTCCTGACAAAAATGATTTCTTTCCTGACAAACATAATTTCTTTCCCGGCAACAATGATTTCTTGCCTGACAAAAATGATTTCCTTTCCTCACAAAAATATGTCTTCCTCACAAAAATGATTTCTTTCCTGACAAAAATGATTTCTTTCCTGACAAATGATTTCTTTCCCGGCAAAAAGGATTTCTTTCCTGACAAAAATGATTTCTTTCCTGACAAACATGATTTATTTCTTGACAACAATGACTTCTTTCCTGACGAAAATGATTTCTTCCCTGACAAAAATCAGTTCTTTCCTGATAAAAATGATTTATTTCCTCACAAAAAATGATTTCTTTCCTCACAAATATGATTTCTTTCCTGACAAAAATAATTTCTTTCCTGACAAGAATGACTTCTTTCCCGACAAAAAATGAATTGTTTCCTCACAATAGTGTTTTCTTTCCTGACAAAAACGATTTCTTTCCTGACAAAAATGATTTCTTTCCCGGCAAGAAATGATTTCTTTCCTGACAAAAATGATTTCTTTCCTGACAAGAATGATTTCATTCCTGACGAAAATGACTTCTTTCCCGACAAGAAATGATTTCTTTCCTGACAAAAACGATTTCTTTCCTGACAAAAATGATTTCTTTCCCGGCAAGAAATAATTTCATTCCTGACGAAAATGACTTCTTTCCCGACAAGAAATGATTTCTTTCCTGACAAAAACGATTTCTTTCCTGACACAATCATGTCTTTCCTCACAAAAATGATATCTTCTTGACAAAAATGATCTCTTCCCTGACAAAAATGGATTATTTCCCGACAAAAATGACTTCCTTCCTGACAAAAATGTTTGCTTTCCTGACGAAAATGATTTCATTCCTGACAAGAATGATTCCTTTCCTCGCAAAAATGATTTCTTTCCTGACAATAATGATTTCTTTCCCGACAAAAACGATTTCTTTCCTTACAAAAAATACAATGATTTATTTCCTGACCAAAATGATTTCTTTCCTGACACAAATGATTTCTTTCCCGACAAAAATGATGTCTTTCCTCGCAAAAATGATGATTTTCCTGACGAAAATGACTTCTTTCCTGACAAAAATGACTTCTTTCCAGACAAAAATGATTTCTTTCCTGACAAAACTGATTTCTTGCCTGACAAAAATGACTTCTTTCCTGACAAAAATGATTTATTTCCCGACAAAAATGATTTCTTTCCTGACGAAAATGATTTCTTTCCTGACAAAAATGATATCTTTCCTGACGAAAATGCTTTCTTTCCTGACAAAAATGATTTATTTCCCGACAAAAATCATTTCTTTCCTGACAAAAATGATTTATTTCCTCACACAAATGATTTCTTTCCCGACAAAAAATGATTTCTTTCCTGACAAACATGATTTCTTTCCTGACAAAAATGGTTTTTTTCCCGACAACATTCATTTCTTTCCTGACAAAAATGATTTATTTCCTCACAAAAAATGATTTCTTGCCTCACAAAAATGATTTCTTTCCCGACAAAAAATGTGTTTTTCCTGACAAACATGATTTCTTTCCTGACAAAAATGATTTCTTTCCCGACAAAAACGTTTTCTTTCCTTACAAAAAATACAATGATTTATTTCCTGACCAAAATGATTTCTTTCCTGACACAAATGATTTCTTTCCCGACAAAAATGATGTCTTTCCTCGCAAAAATGATTTATTTCCTGACGAAAATGACTTCTTTCCTGACAAAAATGACTTCTTTCCAGACAAACATGATTTCTTTCCTGACAAAAATGATTGATTTCCCGACAAAAATGATTTCTTTCCTGACGAAAATGATTTCTTTCCTGACAAAAATGATTTCTTTCCTGACGAAAATGATTTTTTTCCTGACAAAAATGATATCTTTCCTGACGAAAATGATTTCTTTCCTGACAAAAATGATTTATTTCCCGACAAAAAAGATTACTTTCCTCACAAGAAAGATTTCTTTCCTGAATGATGTCTTTCCTGACAAACATGATTACTTTCCTGACAAACATGATTTCTTCCATGACAAAAACGGTTTCTTTCCCGACAAAATTCATTTCTTTCCTGACAAAAATGAATTATTTCCTCACACAAAATGATTTCTTTCCTGACAAACATGACTTCTTTCCTGACAAAAATGATTTCTTTCCTGACAAAAAATGTTTTCTTTCCTGACAGAACATGATTTCTTTCCCGACACAAATGATTTCTTTCCTGACAAATCCGAAACAAAACTCTGTCCATCGCAAGCCGGGGCCTCCGAAGTTGCCAGGCGCCGAGGCTAAAGACCATCATCATGCACACCTCGCGAGAGCTCTCCGCTCGCTTTGGGTGGAGGGGGGGTTGGGGTGGGCGGTTTGGGGTGGGCCCCAGCTGTTTTTGGGTAAAGGAAACCCCTGGCGGAAAGAGTGAGGGGAGTTTCAGTGGGGCTAGGACAACATTAGGGAGGAAATGCTTGTGGAGCAACTTTCAACACACGACTGCAGAAGAAAAAAACCAAGAGAAAGAAGAGAACGGAGAACAAGACAAAGAAAAAAGAAAGACGAAAAGGAAGAAGAAAAGAAACGCAGAAAACCAGAAGACATCTCTGCTTGAATTTCAATGGTTAAAAAAACAACCCCCTTGTGTCAGGGGCAGTCTGTGTAGACCCCGGACTGTCCATGCTCATTTGTGGCCATCTTGCCTCATTTATGGTCAACCGGACTGCATGCCTCAATTGGGTGCAGTCAAATACAAACCCCCAATTACATTTGGGGAAATGCCCCCCGCCCCCCCCCCCAAACAACGCATTTCCAACTAGCGTTCCAACACGCCCCTTAATTGCCAGTTGGCAAACGTGATTTCGGCAGGAGTCAGGGTGGAAAAACACATCTCCATCCGATGTAAAAACCTGCTGCTCAGTGGCGGGGGCTGAGCAACTATGACTATCCCTTGTCCCTTCATCGAAGTCCCAGGTTCATGTCCAAAACCCCGAAAATGATTCCCTGAAAGCCAGAAAGTTGCGCATTCCTCGCATGAGCCCCGCACGAAGCCAGTGGCCAAGAGCTGCCACTTCTCGGTGCCCCGGATGCCGAATTGCCTGCGAAGAATCGGAAAGCGGACGGAGCATGGACAGTGAAACGTGCCTTTTTTGTTGGCTGCGGGTCCAAAACAGGTACCCAAATTGGCACCTTGGTACATGAAGCAAGGACTAAAACCTGCGTAACCCTGGCTCTTTAATTTTGACCCACACCTATATGCACATTGACATGTTGAGACCATGTTACGACTTTCTGAAGTAGAGACATAGGCCGATTCTGAGACGAAATGCACAGATGAGAACTCCAAGACGCGCCGTCCCAAAACAAACAGAGCTTCTAAAGTAATATGCTGAAACCCCAAAACTACCTTAAACAACTCGCAAATGAGGTTGCCCAGCCCTTTTTGACAGAAAAGGCGATTCCTACACTTAAGGCTGCATGCAATCCAGCTTCCGGGGCTGGGGTTTGCTTTCTTGTGGAAAAGCTCTAAGCGATACCGGAACCAAAATCAGAGACCAACAGGATGCGCCACCCTGTGCGCCTTTCTGGTTTGGTTCTAGTCAAATGAGCTCACCCAAATTGTCCAAACGCGCAATTCGATCTGGTTCAACCATGCAATTGCACATCCACCGGAAGCTAACGGAACCTTTCTCTAGCAGGGACTGCCACGTGGCAGCGCCCGGCTTCCTGTCGTTCTCTCTTCCGGCGATACCCTCCAACAACGCAACAACGGGCATGTGGCACGTCTTTTTTGAGCCTCGGCCCCCCCAAAAAAATGAAAAAAAGGAAACAAAGAAAAGTGGTTTTGAAGGCAAATCCCAAAAAATAAGGAGAAGATGTAGCTTGGGGAAGTTTTCTTGAAGCAAAAAGGACGAGAGCCACGCCATGCGCCAACCAAAGATCGACTCGAAACTTTCCTTTCTGGAAAAAAACTTCCCCAAACGACGTCTTTCCTTTTTGGAGCTTGCCTTCAAAACCCGGCCTTTTTTCTTGGTTGCTGTTGACCCCTCTGCGAAAAGATTAGCTTTTTGTGGGTGTACCCCTTGAAAAAAACCCGAAAAGTTCAAGTCTGAAGATCCCACCGAAGAGCAATCCACGAAATGGAACTTCTCGAAACGTCTGGGGCATCTCGTCGCCCTCCCAACTTGCCGGCCCAACTTGCCAGCAGAGTTTCTTTGGGCCACCGAGGGACACGTCTTTTCTGTCCCTAGGCTTGGTTGCTGTTGACCCCCCGGCGAAAAGTTAACTTTTTGGGGGGTTTAGTGGAAAACACCCTTATTTCCCAAGAAGTCAAAGTCTAAAGATCCGACCCAATAGCAGTCAAGTAGGGCGCCTGTTGCGCACAGATCTGCCCACCGGACTGGTGACCTTCGAGCGAATCGTCGCATGGAGCCGGGGTCGTTTGGGGATGCGGATGTCCCTCTATGGGAGTGTTCCTTTTTGTTTGTGTTGTTTCAAAGGGCTTGAAGGGGCATTCCCCTTTTTGTGTCTTTTTGTTGAGATTGTTTGAGTCTCTTTTTTTGGAGTGGGGGCACCGCCCTTTTTGCATTGTTTTGAAGGGAAACCAACAGGAAAACCACCGTTTGCTGGGTCCCCGCCAAAAAAAGAGATGCCCCAATGCTCCACCAGAGTCCTTGGTCCCATGTACCAGGGCAACCCATTTTGGTGTTACCCAACTGACCCACAGCCAAATATTCCAAGTAGGGGAACAAGTTGGAACTCCCAAATTTACTGTAATTGCAACCATGGTTTTGTGGGGTGTGGTTGGTTTACTTTGGCGCACAAAAAAGGGTACACACCAACACCCAGGTCCCAACCGCTGCTTTTTGGACTTTTTATATTCTGGGCATGGTTGGGCAATCAATAAACAAGCTGTAGCAAAAGGAAGGTTAGTCTACCTCCCAAACTGATGCAGGAAAAATGAAAGGCAACGTCATAAACACTCCGACTGCCAATCACGTTTGAGAGCGGTGTGTCTGATGAAAGGGAAAACCACAAATAGACTTATCACGTCTTTTTGTCAGTTGCCTTGTGATGATCTGTACCCCCACAAGCTGTTACATGTTCATTTCCCATGCCCGACATTATCAAACCTTCAAACAGCATCCACCGGGCAAACATCGGAGACTGCATTGGCTTCCCTTTCAAAGCGTTCATTGGGGTTGCAGCGTCCAGATTTCCAGACTCGCTGCTAAGAAAGAGCAAAAACCGTATGAAAAGCCCCCTACCCTTCTTCCCACGAATAGAAGGCACCAATGGGAGAGCACCGTCGGGTGCCATGTTGGTGAGGGCAACACCTCTCTTGTTAGTGTTATATACGAAGTTATCCTGCCTCCCTCTAATTTCCCAAATGATAAACTTTGCAACAGCCCAGTCGTGTCTAACTTTGGGGGCGAATGTCGTGGTTTCTGAACCCTGGCGGCAAACCTCCCAAACACAATCGGCCAGTTTGTTGGCCCCTGGCCTTGTCGGACAAGCGAACAAGCCTGGCACGCACCCCCTCACGCGCATGAGCCAAGGCTCTTTCACAGCAAATGCTGAACTCAGATGCCCAGTGGCCATGGGCAAAAAAGGGCATCCTTGTTTGGTTGCTTGAGTTTAAAGGGGAACCCTGGCCGGGGCAGCCCTGAGGTAAGGTTCCACGAGGGTTCCACCAGGGTTCCACCAGGGTTCCACAAGGGTTCCACGAGGTTCCGCGAGGGCTGCGGGGTGGTGCGAGCACTAAAGAGAGCACTGCATGCTGTTGGGGATATCACCTGAGCTTTTTTTTTTTTTAAACAATTAAACAGGAGCCACTGGGCAACTGGGTGAAAGCCCTGTATGTGCTGAAACGAGCAACTCTGACATCAACGTCTTGAAGATTCGTAGCGTCAAGCTTCGAGGAGCTTCTGGTGCTCTTCATTCGCTTCTCTTTCCATCATCGTTTTGCTTGCCAACATAAACATAGAAACCAATGGTGTTGGCCGTATGTGGTCTATGACTCTTCAACAAACATGATGTTCATGTTTCAGCAGTCTTCGCACTTGCAAGCCCTGGCAAGAGTTGGAGAGGGCTAAGGGCATCTCAATTAACAGCATGGATGGATGACCCAGACACATTGAGCCACATCTAAATGCCTTTTGGCTGCTCATTCACCTTGAGTTCTGTCTTCCAATGAGCCTGTGCTCAACTAATTTTAGATTGGACAATTCTGTTCAGAGCAGCATCATGACCAACACAAACCTTCAGCACCTGTCAAAAGCCTCCTTCTTGAAAAACCAAACAACAAAGAGGGACACCAACAACAAAGGAATAAAAAACAAACCAAGCTCTGAGGAACATGTGATGGCATGATGCATGCATTGTGTTGCTTGTGCGATTGATTTGTTGGTTTCCTTGAGGTTGCTTAGTTTTCCAGTGGCCGTACTAGCCGTGGCATCCACCCAAAAGCCTTCGGGGGCTGTGCGTTCTGCTCCTTTCATGTATGTTGAGGCAAGCATATTTTACTGCGCATTGCAAGCAGCATGTGCAAAGCTGGGGAATCTTGATTGTTCATGTGGCGTTGCAAAGCCACCTCGGTGAAAGTAATAGTGTCCACTAAGTTCCTTTCTTCACTTTCCTCAGGACATTCATCAAATTATGCAAGCTGGATGTAACTGATTGCATAGCCTCAAACGTCAGACTTTCCAGTGCTGGAATTCATTTCATGCAGCGCAAAAGCTGGCAAACACACGCTCGCTGCGCGCACTACCAGGGCCTCAAAACATAGAACAGGGTTGTGGGTACCTCAAATCTAAATTGAGTGATGATCCTAGGAGCAAAACGAGTTGGGACCTGTTTGGAATACTCTCAAAAGGAAAGCAATAGGGAATTAGATTCAGAGGATTGTTTGTTGTGTCCCCTGACACACTTCAAACTTTGAGGATTGACTTTTTGGGGGGTAAACAGGGTTCAAGTATTTCTTTCTAGGCGCCAGACCCGGGAACGGAGCCTTTGTTTTGGGTTTCGAAAGGACACCCAAGCCTTGTGGACTCCTCGGCACATGGCGCCAAATCTCGTGCCGCTGGGGTCCCGAGGCGTCAAGCTTAAGTCATATCGTGGGTCAATGGGGTAACCCCCAAATGGGTTGCCCGATCGGTACATGGAAACATTATTTCCAACACCTGCGGTCGTCTGGTGCCTTGATTTTGACCCTACGCATATCGCCTGATCGTTTTTTGTTGATCTTCCTCAGCTCTCCAAGCAAGTAACAAGCAACCTCCCGCTCCTGGTACCCCGAAATTCTGAGATCAGGCAACCCGTTAACTTCGGAGTCACCGTAATCTTATTGGGTGGTTCCCCTGGTGAAAGGAAATCGAATCCATGTTAAGCTCAGTTTCCCTGAGGTGCGGGGAAGAAGAAAAAGAAGCGACGCCGATAAATTCGTGAGGCCACCTTTCCTTCATTTCTTGAAGTTCCCGTTGCTGTGGGGGGTTGATGAAAAGGTCCGTGATGCATGGGATGACCATTGGGGGGAACCACCAAGTGCCAAGAAGATGATATTTCAACCACAAAAGAAAACACCAAAAAGATGATACTTCAACCACTGAACGGGAAAAGCTACTCGGAAACCACTAAAAAGATGATACTTCAACCACTGAGCAGGGAAAAGCTACTCGGAAACCACCAAAAAGATGATACTTCAACCACTGAAGCAGGGAACAGCTACCCATGAAGGTCATTTGGGATGGAATTGATCAACCCGATCTCTCATCCCTCCAGCTGCCTGATGATAGTGGAGCCTTCCACTTGAAAAGGCCAGGGGTAGATGAGCTCCGACCTCGGCATTTGCGCCGAGTGGGCCCGCCTTTCCTATACTTCTCGTTGCTTGCGTCACTGCTCAAACCAAAACACCTGACTTGGACAGTTCAGAGATGAAATCCCTTTCTCGGTTCGTCTGTTTCAAAGCAATCCTTGTTACTCACGTCACTGAGCCGCTGGTCGTGAAGACCAAAGCGTAGACTCAATCAGATTCTTAACATGTTGTATCAAAATTAGGAAATTAGGACCTCTCCATGGCGTCGTTGCGAGGTTTCCACATCTTCATGACAAACCCGGAGGAACAGCCATCATACCCTTGACGGACATCTTAGTTTCCCCTGTTACAATGGGTCTGTCTTCATGTCTATGGACTTCGCTTTCTCAAAAAGGTTCCCTTTGAACAGCTTCTATCAAACAAAAGGTTCCCCCCCCAAACACAACAACAATCGGGAGATTCGATGTGTTCTGCCAACCCCAAAGGCATCAAGATTCCCATGGACCTAGCGCTCAGTGCACCCGCATTAAGACCCCAGGGCACATTCCATGTTTCCAAACCTTTCGCTGGAACCTCTGGGCTCGTGTTGTAACCCACGCCACCGGCGAGCCAACGTTTCAAACTACCTGAGAGGGGGCTCTTTGGCCTCAAAAAAAATATGGACCCCCTCGAGCTGTTGGAATCCAAAAACCGAAGGCAAGCTGGATCCCGTGTTAGGACATAGCGGGTAAGGGTAAGAGACAAGGCAAACTTGGCCCAGGACCGGTCGGCAACAAACATGTGAAAATCATTCCCATGCCACAAAGGAGTTGAGCCCGCATGTGTGGCCTGTCCGTTTTCAGATCTGCTGTTTTTTGTTTGCTTTATCTTTCAGTGGGTTCAATGGAAACCGCCACTAAGTTTCCTAAGAACCAAAGGGGATGGAAGGGAACCGCCAAGATATACACTGATGTCGAGCTGTTGCAAAAAACACGAGGCAATATGTTCATGGCTGGACCGAGCCAAGGCCAATTTGGTGCTGCTTCCCATCGTGCCAGAACCGACGTTTTTATTTTTCCCCTATCTTTTAGTTTATTATTATACCTAAACCAGGGGTGCTAGAAATGCATACCGTCCAACAAAGGGGGCCATAAATTCAGGTTCGTGGGCAACATCCATCAGTTGCCTTGTGATCCCTACAGGGCTCCCCATTACATTGCTGGCGAGGCTTGAAGAAAACACATATATGCCTTGGAGGACCCAAATGCCTGAACCAATTTGTCATACCGCGGTTGATTCCCGTGTGACGACTTTGCAAAGCTTTCTTTTTGGCCAGAAAAGGGGACCCAACGCCCTAGCAAACTTATCGATTCCCATCCCGCATTGGAATCCTCAAGGAAAATGGCACGGGTCCCAGTTTTCTACAGCTATCCATGCCTTGAGCTGGGTCTCCCAAATCCGTTTCTTCAGCCTTCCCCCCAAAAGGGAAATGGGTTGCCCTCCTGCCCAACATGGAAACCACCAGATGGTTTCTCAGGGAACATTGTCTTCCAGGACCCCCCGGGTTACATGTTAGACAGGAGCAGGGCTGTGGGAAATGGAATCCACGAATCTGTGATACACCAAAAAGGGCTTCTCAAAGACTAACCCCCCAAAAAAACAGGGGGGATTCCCTTGTATCACAGAAGTGGGGAGAAACCCCTTGATCCCACAACCCTGGACAGGTATCATTTCTTTGGAGATCTCCATGGAAATCCTCCCAGGCGAGGCCCGGTCTGGCTCAAGATCTCGATGTCTTCCTTCGTGGCCGGCCACAGCACCTGCTTTGCAAGTCTTCTTTTGCGGCAAACCCTCTCCCCCCCCGCCCCACCGAATTCTTACAACCCCAAACGTTCTTTTTGGCATAAAGCAAATGTGGCCCACCCCCCCAGGCATCCAGGCACCGCTTTTCCCATCTCCAAAAGCGCTGTTCAAGTAGCAGTCCTTGGGGGTTCCCCGGTGTATGTTCGATGGTGGGAATTCAAAGGAAAGCCGTCAAGGGACGTCTCCTGAGCAAACCCGCAACTCCGTGCCAATGGGGAACCAGTTGACAAGTTTTGACCCTGCAATCCCTTCCCCAAATTCATCTAGGTCCTCCAGCTGAGAGGTTAGAACAAAGGTACCTGTTTTTTTCTTCTGTAGTCTATTTTAGTAGGGAAGCCCTTCCCCCAAAAAAAGGGGTCTCCAAAGACAGCAAGGAAGCTTTACAAGACTTAGACCCCCTGCAAAAAGCGTTCAGCTTTTTGCTGGTAAGAAAAGAAGCATGTCGAAAACCCAAGGCAAAATATAAAGAGGTCAGCGATCCTCTGCCAAAGGCTGTTGCATGGGTCGAAGCAATACCTCTGCTGGCTTGATGCAGGAAAGCACCTTCGGTAGTTGCGTGCGCCTCTGTTTTCTCATGTTGTGCTCGTTTTGACCGTTTTTTAACGGGAAACATCCATTTCTCCCAACGCAACGGGGGGTTTTAGGGGTCCGGAAAACCGGGGGGTCTGCCGGGTGCCCACCTGCCCCGTGGTCGTGTGGCTCCGCAGGATCATCTCGGATCGGATCGAGAGGAGTCGGAATCGAAACGGGGCAACGGGCGGGCAAACGTTTTGCAACCGCCCTGTTCTTCTCCCCTCAGGGGTGGGTTTAGGGTTTAGGGTTTAGGGTTTGGGGTTTGGGGTTTAGGCTAAACCCTAGACCCTAAGAAGTAACATGGAACCCACACAGCCACTCAGAGTTTGTTTTTTTTTGGAATCCGCAAGCTTCTTCTGTTGGCTGAGAGGTTCACAGAAACTGAGGAGGGAGGGGAGGGGGAGGGAGCCCTAAGCCAAATAAATTCAGACGGAACCCACAAAGCCGCCATAGAGGAAACTCTTTTCTCCCTCCCCCTCAGCCCCCAGGACAAACACTTCCCTAAAACTTCAGATGACACCACAAAGCCGCCATAGAGGAAACTCTTTTCGGGACACGGACCCCCTTTTTGGTTCCATGCTTGATTGGCAGGGGAGTATTGACAAAATATTGACAAAAAGGACATTCCACTCCAGTAGAGAGCTTAGAAGAAGTTGGTACCCGACTTTTCTTTTTGGTCTAGTTTAGTAGGGGAACCCTCCGAGCCAAAAAAAAAGGGTTAAAAAAGGCACCTAGCTAGAGAACCTAGGCAATCATACAAGCGGCTCAGGATGACGCTACCTGACAGGTGAGATTTGTTTGTTTCGCCTTGACCAGCTGCGCCGTGCCACCGGCAAGGCGACCGAGTACTTTTCAGACACCAGACCCCGCAGCACATGAAGGCCCAAGGCCGGCTCCTCATATCAATCGCCGGCGGAACGGCAACGAGTTCCGATCTTCTGCCGAAAGCTGGAGCTTTCAGCTTGCCTGTTTTTTAACTGACCCACAGTCACGACTTCATCAAGGCGAATTGCCTTGCTTGACTTGCAGGCTCCCACCTGGAGTCTTCTTCCGACCCTTAAAAAATGGGTCAATGACCCCAAAAATATTGGGGTCATTGACCCATTTTTGAAGGGTCAGAAGGAGACCCCAGGTACGCAAATATATGTTATCATTGCAGTTTATGCAGCTGCAGAGTCTGCATACCGCGGCTGCGAGCAGCGTGTGCCTCTGCCGATGCCTATCCAGCAACCTCGTCTTCGGGACCCAGGTTGCAGCAGGACGCTGACAAGTTGGCACAGCTGTCCTCCAATTTAATCAAAACCCGGAACAGAAATGGTGAATTTCAGAACCATGGAAAGGATTAAGTAGGCGGCAGCACCTATTTACGGTTGGGATGGTCCCTTACTAACCTTCATCTACCCTGGTTTTGATCGTGACTCAATTGGTGATTCGAGAATTTGTTTGGTGGTTCACTAGGTCCTCCAGTAGAGAGGTTAGAATAAGGGTACCAACTTTTTTCTGTAGTCTATTTTAGTAGGGGAACCCTCCCCCAAAAAAGGGGTCAAAAAGGGCACTACTGGGGGGGCCTGGTCCAATCAAGGGCTCAAACCAGCTAAGGGACACTAGGGAAATGCATCGTTGGACCCGCCACTGGCACCATCGATCGCCTGCCCAGCCCGTCCAATCTGAAGCCCCCGGCGTCCTTCTTTTGCTCCTCGCGGAAGCGATCTCCGGCCGAAGCGTACCATGACTCCGTAGCGAAACCAAGGGTGCCTCACCAACGCTCGAATAGGGGCAAACTGATTAGTCATCTCACTTCTTGAGTGGAAATTGCAATCACAAGAGAAATGCAAAGGCAAATACTTACGACTACTACGGTTGAAAGCTCACACCCAAAAAAGTCTAAACTCCGAAGAGGAACTCAGGAAGTGAGTCAAAGTCTACCTCCGCTAAGTTGGCTTTGAAGTACCGCTCCAAGTCTTCTACCCAACCCGCCTGCTCCGCGATCATGCTGGGATCCTTCAGGAGCAAAGGAACTGGTGAGGCAACCTCAGGCAGTTCCGAGATAAACGTTTTTCTTGAGGGTACCTATGTTTGCGGTTTAAAGGGAACCCAAAAGGAAAGCCGTTGCGCCATTTTGGGGTTCCCCTGCGAAAAGACAGAGCCTTTCGGGCTGCTCCTTGAGAAGCCAAGGGAACCTTTGGAGACAAACCTATACCTCTACCCGTACCTTCCGTCTCCATTCTCTTCGGGACTCTCGGGCCAAAGCCCTAGGAAAATGGCTGGGTTTCTCTTTTAATGATGGGTGAGAGTACTTGCTGGTTCTCAGCAGGGAATGAGAAATGGAATGGCCCCGGGAAAAAAACAACAACAACATGGTTTTCTTTCAGGGAGTCTTCAGGTTAATTCCCGAAACTCTGTCTTGGTCATTCCAATAGGGAATCAACCGCTACCACTGGTTGGGGGTAGGGAAACCCACAGCAGACCCGGAAATCCACACGTTTGAGACTCCAAACCCGACACCGAAGCCCTGGTTGATTTTGAGAGATGGGGCCTGGTGACATTCCAGAGATCGCTTGTGTAGAGCTTTGCCACCCGATTTGTGACTCCGGTCGAAAGAATTCATTAGCTCAGCCTTTAACTCCTCATGTAAGATAAACTTACTCATCCGAAAGCTACTTTGCAGCTCGCGTTCTTAGACATGGATCGAATGGGTCGCTAGGTTTCTCACTTCAGAGTTTCGTGCCGCCGAAGAAAAACCACGGTCCCAAAGAGGGGCCATCCATACCTTGCCCAGCCAAACGTAAGCTGGAACATGCTCGGCATAGCAATCTGGCTGAAGTTAAAGGTTCATGCCAGCACCCCAATCACTGCTTTTTTAACGTTACGTGTAGTTTGGGACATGTGAAATTAGCAGTTGTTGGGGGGTGCTTGCTGGTGCCAAGCAAAACATCGGCCAAGTAATGAGTCATGTACGTACAAAATCATTGCCTTCAAGGCAATCTCAGACAGGATACCCTCCCCCAGAACAAACAAAAAAACACTGCCATCTATCAATGTCAACAAATAGGGCGGCATGAAGTGCTGAGTCGACCAACACGGCTGTCGGCCCCTCCACGAAAAAGTTCCTTACGGGGCACCTCTTGTCCACTGCCGATCTGGTGGCTGACCGTACAAGGCAAGACTTGACTGCCTCACCTGCTGAGTGGATGGCCCACAAAAAGTCCAAACTTTATATTTGCCACTGAAATGGTCTTCACCAAAAGTTTAAAGTTGATGAACTCAGGAAGTGAGCTGCAGAAGCCGTTGGTGGTGGGGAAAGTTGCATTTGGTCGCGCTCTTTCGCTAAGACCCTCAGTGGGGTAAGTTTCCTTCGGGTGTCCCTTCAGAAGCAACCCAGAAACAGTGCCCGCAAAAACAGTACCACTGACCCATATCGCGGGAACCCTAAGGCGAGCATGCGCTTTTTAGCACCAAAAACACCTGTTGCCGCCCGTCTCCCGGCTGAAACCTCGATTTCCCAGGGCCAAGTGCCGCTCTTTGGACCGATTACCCTTGGGTGGTTTGACCGGTGGCCACAAAATTTGGGGCCACCAAATTACCATTGGGCTCCAGTGCTTCAAGCCTCAAATTCACAGAATTTGCCTGCCAGTGCCCGGTTTTGCCTATGAACCCGAAGATCCCGCCGGCTAACTCTGGGCATATTTGGCGTCCAAAACATTTGCCTGCCATCAACTCGAAGCCCGCACCTCCAGCATGTCCCATACAGAAAACCCCCCCACCGCAAAACCTACCAAGTCACAAAGCGGCCCTTTGAAATGGGAAAAAGCACCGCGCTTTCTTTTCCAATGCCCTGCATGCGTTTCGGGGATAGACTGGCCAAACGATGTGCCCACCTTCCAGGAGCCCTGGGGGTGGGGCCAACCTTGAAACATGGGTCAGTTTGGTGTAGACACTCTCCTTCCGTGTTTGTTCCTTTTTTTCTCTCCATTTATTTTTAAATATATATATATATATGTATGTATCATTATTATTTGTATTTTTTTAACAAACCCCAAACGCCAAATGGATATCTGTGCCCAAATCCGGATCTCGGATTTCTAGGCATTGAATTGTGACGACTCGTGGGAGACCCCGGGCACCGAATTCCCCATCCGAAAACCGCTGGCGTTCTGGGGTCGCGACTGCAAGGCGATCCGCAGCCTCCAACATTTCGTTGTTTTGCGGGTACCCTTCTTGGGCCTAGCTTTACGAAAACCAACAGGAAACCGCCCATCTTGAAGGTTTCCTCTTTGAACCGAAACCCAAGAGAACCCCATGTCCGAGGTTCTATGTTACCATATTCTTACTGTTTAGCAACAAAAGAACATAAGGAGAGTCCGGTTGAATCGGCAAAAAGGAGAAAACATCTCATCCCGACGAGACCCCGCCCCAAGTTTCGGCGGCCTGACTCAAAGCGTTGAGTCACATCTACACATGGGTGCGTCTGCAAGAAAGCTTCAATTCCACCAAACATGTTTGGTTGCCTTCGGAGTTTTCCAATAAAGCCACTCCAAAAAAAGAGGTACTGGTATTCTGAAATTCTGGCATCTCAAAAAACACTCCAACAAATATTAATGTTCACGCCTAGCACCTCCTGCGCGTGCTTCGCATTGTGGACTTTGCGGACTTTGCCGTACACAAATGTTAATGCCACAGGCTTCTCATGAGGCGCAGGCGCATCTTCGTTTTGCTTTTCCACAGTGGCGTTACTTCCAAACAAAGCAAGTTTGCCAAACACACTGCGCCAGTGGGAATTCCCTACTGTGGAGGTTTTTTTGTTTTTTTTTGGGTATCAGAGTGGGAAGGAACCAACCCCTTTCCTCCCTGCACCCTACGCAGTTCGAACGACTTTCCGCAGCCCGAGGCCGATCTGCTTTCGACCTTTGGCAAGCAAAAGATGATGCAGGCTGAGTTGTTTTTTCTTCCCCAGAACTATTTCATGAAAAGTCTTCGTTGGGGAAGTCTTCGTTGGGGAAGTCTTCGTTGGCTATCCCAAACACTCTCTATGCCATACCTAGAGTCTTCGTTGGCTATCCCAAACACTCTTTATGCCCGTGACCCTTCAAAAACGGGTCAATGACACCATTATTTTGGGTAATGACCCCCCATTCTTCAAGGGTCGTGGAGAATCCAGGTATTGACCCGCCGAACACCCCAATGGGCTTCATCTTGGTATGTCTGTTCTCCAGGATCCGAAGTGAACCTCAGGATCCAGGGCGTGCACGGGCCCGCTTGCGAGCGAATGGAAAACCAAATGTGAAGGGCCAAAGGGTCCCACCGAGTGACACACCAAGAACCCGGTCCATTTTGACCAAGGCCCGGAAGATGCCCTCCAAAAAGCAGATCAAAAGGTCCGTGATACATGGGAGGACCATCTGGGAAAACCACTAGAAAGACGATATCGCCACATGGGAAAAAAACTACTCATTTTGGGGGCCGAACGGAATATTGATCAAGTCCCCCCACACACAGATGTGCATACATTAAACAAACAAATACATGGCCCCCAGAACGTGTTGCTTTAAATGTCATTATCATAACAAAAGCAAGAAATCAAACACACAGTTATTTCTTGTTTTGTTTGAGGCAGTCACGGCAACGAGGTAATTCACGGGGTAACCAGAGATGTACATATATACATATATATATATATATACATATATATATATGCATATATATATATATGTATCTATATATATATATATGGCTATGAATGTTAAAAAGGGACCATTTGGTGGACATCATTTTGGTGGGGATTCATGTCTACCAATCATTTTGAGGTGGTTCCCTATTAAAAATCATGGCCATTTATATACATGCATAGATATACCAGGCCACCACATGCCGCAGGTCACCAAATTGCGCTTCTCCCCCCCGCCAGCGCCTCCTGAAACGCGGACTCCTCTGGCACGGCGGCAGGGCCATGCTCCTTCACATGGTCCTGCGGTTTCGCCCCCCCTTTTGGGTTGGTTCAAACTGGTTTTTCCTGGGCTGCCCTCAGATCCCCCGCTAAAAGTGACAAACTTTCCCAGATCCCGCCAAAAGCCGGTTTAGTGGTTTGATGGAAAACAAGTACTAGATAAAACCCTTTCTAGAGATGGAACCACCAAGTAAAGAGAAACCTTGAAAACGGCCCTCAAAAGTGACAAACCCAAACACTTTTGCCAGAAATTAAAGCCACAAGGGAAAATGGGTGTATATCTTTTTAGAATAGGGGGACCCCCTTCCCCTCAAAGCGACTCAAAAAGGGAGGTTCCAACCACAACAAGACACACCCAAATCTAGGTTGAACCCGAAATGGAACGGCCAAGCCAATTTGTCCGAACTGTTCGAAAGCCGCTACAACAGTCTTCCTAAAAAATGACTAAAGTCCATGAACTCAGGAAGTGAGACTGCCAACAACTATTTGGTTCAGGCCAACCCCCCTTAGATACAACCCGTGGTTCAGTGAGGCCTGTTCAAGCCCCCGGCGGGAGGGACAAGTTCCCGTAGACCCGACCAGTCTTCATTGAGCAGAGCCATTGCGAGCCCATGAAATACGTGCCCAGACATTTGGGTTGAGTCGAGTCGAGAAATGGTGAGGTTCGCTCAAACCCAGTAGTCTACGAGGGGGATAGAGGGGGATTCCTTTCCGACCACGAAACAAATGTGGAGTGAACCCTTGTCCCTCTCTCTCTCTCTAAATTTCCCATGTCTAAAGTACCTGCATATTTCGACCAGATTCGTCCTAGTGTCCCCGAAAGTGATTGACATGTCCTGAATCGGGTTGCCAAAAAATCTGCGGGGCGGTGCTTTTTTTTGTTGTTGGCCTTGACGGGAAACCAAACGAACACCCTCGCCAATTTAGACCGGTCTTACCATGGCCACATTTACCCAAAAGCTCCAAGACGGGGGCTTTGGGGGGCTACTCACCTGGATGGGCCCGAAAAAGTCTCTAAACAGGGATCCTTACATTATACACCTAAACATTGCCTTGTAAATGGTGGTTTCCCTTTTTATTTTGGTGGAAAAAGCCATGTTTCAAATGGGCAAAATGTATCTTTTAAGGAGCCCTGCCAAACCTTTGGGTTGAGCACAGAATGACCGAACACCAAGTCAGTTTCGTACTCAATCCAAGCAGATCCAAACTCGAAAGGCCTCCAATGGATTTGTCTCATGGGGAAAACCATGAACACGAGTGGAGACCCCCCCAAAAAAAGGAGTCGCTTCCAACGTCTCCCTTTCAACCAGCCCCAAAAAGCTTTGGTAGCCTCAAAACAAACACACACACACCAATTATCACAACCCGCCCCCCCCCCCCCAAAAAAAAAAAAGAGCGGGCAAGGGACACCCCCCCACAACTTCCACGGCCGGCGCTTTTTCGCGCTTTCTCCTCGATGCGGCGCTCCACGAAGCGATCCTCCTGCCTTCGCTCTCGGCGTTTTTTGCTTTGTTTTTTCTTTTTTCCGCGAGACGTAGCCCGTTTTGGGGTAGGAAAAAAGGGCGAAGAAAGAGCTTGAATTGGCTTGTGGGTGACCAACTGTTTGGCGCGTTTTACATTTTGCCTCTCATGACTTTGCAGTTCTTTTCGTTTTTCTTTGGCTTTTTTTTTGGGGGGGGGAGGAGGGTAGTGTGATGAGGAAGCAGGTTCCCCAAATCAAGCCCGAATTCAGGCCCCCGTTTCCTTTTGCCTTGCACGAATCAACCCCCCCCCCCCCCAGCTGCTCGAAACCCAAAGATCCATCTATATAATTTCCTTAAACTCAACGCATCCGCTACTCCAAATACCCTGGAGGTATCAGGACCAAACCCGTTTTTTCAATTAAGAGCCCCCACTATGTACCTAACTCAAAATACACAATCAAACTCCCCCAAAACGCAAACACCTTTGCTTGTGGTTTCCTTTGAAATACTAACCAAAGGGGTTACCCAATATGAATATGAAGAACAAAATTAAAATCACAAATGCAAATACAAGCCCCCCCAGAAAAAAAAAAAAAAGAAGAAGAAAAATGAGAAAAAAAGAAAAGCGGGAGTTAGGCTCTGCTTTTGGTTTCCTTTGCAAGCCTTTCCCCAGCCGCCCCGTCGTTTTCTTTTTTAGGACGGAGAACCGCGCCCCAAACTAAGTTCTGAGAGCGCGGGCTGCAGGTCGAGGAAGGTGGTGGTGTCCACGGGCTCCAACTCGGCGCGCGACGGCGAGGAGCGAGGAACGAGGACCGCGCGCGGTGAGTGGCGCCGAGTGGACGCGGATTGTGGACCGGGGGAGCTGGGGGTAGGTGGGGTGGGGGGGGGTTGGGGAGGTGGGGGTGGGGGTGTGGTCGGGGTGGGATGAGGCGGTGCTCACTAGGGAATAGATAAACCTAGGGATCCTGCCTGGGAGGTGCTAGAGAACAAATAACCCAGAACCCCCCCCCTGGACAAACACAAATCGCCTCATTGGGCCTGGACCAAGAATTGGAGGACCCGGAAATGAAAGATTGGAGCCTAGACTATGAGTACCAAACCGGGGAAACCGAAAGGTCAGATCTCAGATCCGGTCGATTCGCTTTGCGCAAGTGAGATACACCTACGGCGACTTCCAGAATTCCTCAAAAACTCACCGGCAAAACATGATCCAAACCACCGAAATTTATGCTTTTCTGGGTACCTCTGCGGAAAGCGCTGGCTTCCGGGTCCTCAAAGTCTAAGTTTTCCCATAGCTTTACTCTTTGGTCTGCTCCAACCCCCGGAGGAGCACAAGGTCAATCACCTTCTGTCAGTTTTTGGGGAAAAGCCAAATTTATGTCCAAACCGTCAAAAAGCGTTTTGCTTCACTCGTCCAAGCAGCCATGGTTACTCCCCAAACGGAAGCAACCAAGGGGTGTCCATTTTTGATCCCGCCCTGAAGCTAGTGGAACTGGCGGAAGGGACCTAGAAGAATGTTTTTAGTTTGATGTTCCTTCTTCTTTGTTGTTCTTCCCCAACAGCTGAAAGCTTTGGGGTCTTACAGTAGTCCGGGGCGGCCCTGAGGTACGGTTCCACCAGGGTTCCACGAGGTTCTGCGAGGGCTGCGGGGTGGTGCGAGCACTGAAACGAGCACCGCATGCTGTTGGGGATATCACCTGTGTTTTTTGTTTTTTGGGGGGGGGTTAAAGGAGATTCCTCTATGCGTTTCTGGATCATGGTGGACGTGGACACCAAGCAGGAGCTCGGGTTGAAGTGGGTCAGATTTCTTGGGGTGGTGAATTCGCCAACCCAAGCCCCAAAAATGTGTGTGATATTCTGCTGTGCCTCCAAATGGTGCACCAAGGACCCTGATTTCTGGGGATCCGCACTACTCTGATCCATTTAAGTCAGGGCGGACTATGAGAAAGGGTTTCCTTGCGGCTTCGCTTGAGCCCCGACGTTTCGAGTTTGGCGACGTGCCTTGGGCTTCTCGACATCTGGCAGCGTCTCTTCCTGCGAAGGAAGTCTGCCGAAGCTTTGAAGAGGTCGATTCTGAATGAGGTTCACATGGCACTCTGCGTCAGGACTGTTGAACAAAACCCCGAGCCAGGTAGGCGGCTTATCAACAAAGCTTCAGCGTGCTTTCTCTCGAATCTGGGGCTTAAGCTGCCTCCGGAGGCCAGACGTTTCTTTGTTTCTTACCTGAAGGCTTCAACGGCAGGGGCAATTTTGAGCTTGTGTGTTTCGTAAAGACAGTTTTTGACCTAGGGTACCTTCCGCGAGCATGTTTCTATACAAGTGTTAAGTGCTTCCACGAACCTTCCGCAGGCAAGTTGCTTCCGGAAACTGAGTCCGTGAGGGAACTCGTGTACATGGTTTCTAGTAAACGTTCGTGGTAACAGCCACACAAACGAAATCAAACTCCTATTAGCTCAAATCCACAACGTCCCTTCCGCAAGCTTCCGCGGCAAAAAAGCCTTCCGCAAACCTTCCGCGGCTGCAGTGCGGCGCTGCCTTGTTTGTTGATATGAGCAGAACAATACAAAACACGACGCAACTGTGACGAACTGCGTCCTGTTCAACGAACTACCTGCCTGCCTACCTAATCAACTCACTAGCCTCGATCCCGCAGATCAAGTCCAATCTACATCCTCGAGTGACTGAGGGCTCCGGGTCCTGCCTCCACACTGTATGGTGTGAGTACGTCTTCCAGAGAAATTCACCCACACCGAGGTGCGGTGCATGACGTGTATTTCAACGGAGGTCTCTAAACTCGCTCGCTTTCTGCTCCCCTGCTAAAAGTTGAACTTTTACTGGTTTAATGGAAAACCCATTAGTTGGCAAACAGTTGTACTTTTGACATCCAAGCAACATGCACCAAAGGAAACTTGAACACTTCAACTGCTACCTTCGCATCAGCATGCGCATTTGAACGCAGACGATCGCCACCATTTGACGTGGCCAGACGACTTAGACCTCCTGGAACAAGTATGGAGTTTCGCTTGAAAGGGAACATGATGGAAAAAACAAGAAGGCCAAAAGTCCACAACAGGCTTCCACTTCTTGACTACCCCAAGATACACGTAAACCCCGTTGATTTGCCAAAAAAAACCAAACAGTTTATTTACTAGGTTCTCCAGTAGAGAGCTTAGAATAAGGGCACCCTATTTTTTTCTGTAGTCTATTTTAGTAGACGAAAACCCTCCCGCAAAAAAGTAACGGTAAAAGTTGGCACTGGAACACCTAGTTAAGCACTAAAATGGTCACAAGTTGAAAGTGCGGGCACTCAGGAAGTGAGACCCTGGCATCACCTGCGCAGAACTCGCAGTCCAAGTCCCTGGCGAGCTTCTCAGCGACCTCTCGCGGCTTACCTCACCGAGGCATTGCATGTGTCGAGGAAACGGATGCGATGCGCGCCTCACGGATTCGCCTCGCGGAGTCCGTTTTTTTTTTCATTTGGCCATGGGTCAAAATCCAAATCGTAGCCCCAGTGAACATCCCAATCCCCACAAAAAATAGACTGAAATGGGTGGTGCTACCCAAAATGGGGTCCTATTAATTTTGACAACCACAGCCATTTCCCGTTTCGGACCCTCCAAATGTGCCAGCTTGAATGGGAAATGGCAAATGGCAACTTTTGAAGGGCATGCCAGTGAGCCTTCTCCCTTCGTACCCTTTGAGGATCATGGTTTTGAGGCAGGCCAGTTAGGAATTGTCGAATTGAAACCAAGAGTTGAATGCCATACCTGAGAACTCCGTCGGGCTAAAATAAACGCCGTTGTGATTTTGGACGGGAACTTCTGCCGCCGCAGCAAAAAATCGCCGTTGAATTCCAGAAACGCCGGCAGTTTGCAAGAAACGCCGTTGGCCCCTGGCTGATCCAAATCAGCTCAGGGCCTCGGCGCAAAGCAGTTTCAGAAGGTAGCAACATGAAGCGCTGAACACAACACAAAACTGACTCTCGCCTCCTTGCAAGGCGGCTTTGGTCGATCTGTGACACCTGGATCACTCCTCAAGAAAGCGTTTGCGATCTCGAGTTCCGCCGTTGGGACGCGCGTTTCCGCCGTTGGGACGCGCGTTTCCGCCGTCGGGACGCGCGTTTCCGCCGTCGGGACGTAGGTTTCCGCCGGTGCAAGTCAACACATTTGGCGGTAAAGCTCGATGGGTATTCCAACAGGTCGCACCGAGTTTCACCAACCCACAAAGCCTAGCACAAAACCTGGCATAGTCGCGGTCAGGTGCGCAGATCTTGCAAAGCGGCCCACGTCAGGCAAAATGCCCACAAACCGCAAAAACGCCGTCGCAGATTGAAAAACGCCGCCACAACCAGCTCCCCATCAAGTTCCGCCGCTGGACGGCAAAAGGCGCCTTTTCGAGTCTCAGGCTGAAATGTTCGCCTTTTGGAGTTTATAGGTATACACAAACCAAAGAACAAACCAAATTAACTTGGTTGACGTTGGAAGGGCAGCTGTAAAATGTTTCCCAACAGCAACCAAATTAAGTCGGCAAAGAAAAAACTGCCCATCGCGCGCTGGTCCCCTGACCTGTCTTTGCCTCTCTGCACCTTTCCCCAATCAGCCGGCCTGGCGAGGGCGAGCTGCTGAAACACCGCGCCGGCCTCGGTGCAGTTTCAGAGACCTCCGATTCATTGGGAGGACCCGAGTCGCGGGAACCATCTCCCTATGTAAATGTATATATATATATAATTATATAATTACATATATATATATATATTCTGGGCTGCCCTCAGATCGCTAAACGTGACTAACTTTTGGTGGGTTAAATGGAAACGACCACTAAGTGCTAAAAAGCTAAAAGGCTAAGGGAATGGCTGGGAGCCACCAAGTATTTATACATATGTATATATATATATATATGTATATATTATACATATATATATGGCCACCCCCCGCCCCCCCCATGATCCACACCTAGAATGTGGTATGCAATAAAGCACTGTCAATCATGGCGTGGTTGGTGGATGGGCGAGCATATATAAGATATATATATATATATACATACATATATATATATATATATATATCATTCTCACCATGAATGGATCTCGAGTAAGGGCCCGGAGTCCTCCAAACTGAAGATTCGCTCACTCGGGCCCCCTGCACTCGGATCGAGAGCCGAAGCCCTGGACAAGTTCTCAGCTCGGGGAATTCGTTTCACCCCGGTTGGTACGTGCCTTCCCAAAATCCAAATCCAAGCCACCTTTTGGGCCGGATCATCGCCTTTCCTCGGCTCCTCTTCATTTGACTCTCCGTTTAGAACTTGCTTACGGCTTACGGGCGAGTGGGACAAAGACAAGCCGGCTTCTTTCGTCTCTTGTTCTTTCTTTTTTTTTTTTTTTGGGGGGGGGGACCCTTTTTGGGGTTCCGGTCTGTTTTGCAAGTAGTATTTTCCGTCTTGGTTGTATTTTTTGGGGGGTTGAAATCGGATTAAAGTAGCTCCCTAGCTACGAAGGGACCACTACCCTCCATTGGTGTTTGTGTCCCCCAGAAAAATATAAAGTACGTCCAGTATAGGTTGAAAGCAGTTGAACATAAAACATGCTCTTTAGCGATGGAAGTTAACCTTGTAGCGGCTTATGTACTTTGTACTGTTTCCACGTAAGTCGAATTTCACTCCTGCTATCAACATGAACCAAAATCATGACGAAACGAATCAAAGGACGCGCGCCTTGTAGCAAAGAGCCTGGTCCAAGATAACAGTTTCAATAGTTAGAATAGAGTTTGGGCTGTGCTTGAACCAAATCTAGTCATGATCATATTGCTGGTTCTCAGCCGACTCACTCACTAAAAACACTCCTCAACGCCAAGCATAACATAAATGAATACTGGCCGAGGTGGGCGGCGCAAAGCGTTTACAATGAAACAATAAGCTCAGATGATATCCCCAACAGCCTCGCAGAACCTCGTGGAATCCTCGTGGAACCTTCGTGCAACCCTTGTGGAACCTTACCTCAGGGCCGCCCCGGACCACCCCGGAGCCTATCTGGGCTGAGACCCCAAAGCTTTCAGCTGTTTGGGAATAAAAGACAAACGATGAAAATTGGAATGACCCCCATAAACCATCCCCGATGGTGTCCTCTATTTGGGAATCCCCCACTCCCAAGACCCGGTCTCGGTCGTTTCCTGAGCACCAGCATAGGAGTAACCGAATTGTAGTCTTCCGTTTGTTTAAGTCCCAAACATAATGAAATGATATCCAGTGATAGATGCCCTTCAACAACCCACAGGGGAAATGACAAAAACAAAAACATGTTTGAGCGAATTTTGCCACGTAATGGGCTTACACCATTACTTCCCTGCAAAGCAAATGGAAGCAAAATGGAAGTGATTCTTGAGGTCCCCCAAGATTCGAGGGCTGGCCTTTGCTAGTGGAAGGGGTCTAACGAAGCTCACGGGGCTTGCGATAGGTAAAGAATGACCGCGACCGGGTTTGGAGAATGAACCGGTGTTGGTTGGATTCCCTTAAAGACCATAGGGGATGGTTGAAAAGTGGGTCATTCCCTCATTCCCTGCGGAGAACCAGCAACATGATATGCAACCAAAGCCTATGGCAACAGATGGGGCTTCCCAAAGACAATCCCCCCCTCCTCCCCCTCCCCCCTCCCCCCCTCCCCCCCCCTCCCCCCCTGGTTGGGGGATCACTCGAAACGTGAAGTGGGGGGATTGGGGGAAACGCACGGCGCAGGATGTGGCCGTGATGCTGAATGCGGATGTGGAGAGAAGCCACAAACCCACCAAACGCCGCAAAAGTCCAAGGTGGTCGTCCAAAAACGCAAGCCATCCCCCCCAAAAAAAGGCCCTCCGCTCCTTAGCTCCCTCTTTGAATCACATTTGGATAATCCCAGCTCCGGAACGGCTCCCTTGCACCACCAGCTGGCAAAGCGCTCGCTTGAGTTGCCAAAGTACTTACCAATAAATGGACCAACTTCCTTGCTGGTGCTCAGCAGGGAATGAGAAATGAAACGACCCCCCCCCACAAAAAAATCCCTTCTGCTGTCCTTTATTCAGAGATCCCCAAAGCCGGTTCATTCCCAGCCCGCCGGTTCATTCCCTACTACGAACAAGCCAGCAAATTTGTCCAACCAAAACACAAAAAGCAAGTCGGTTCCCGCAAAAATTGGGTTAATTACCCCAAATTTGTCTGTTTTCCTGGTGAAATCAACACATCCACCAACTGAAACTCAAAAAACCCAACGGTCAGAAGGTCAAAATCTTGGCTTCGGGCTGCGTGAGCCTCCCGGATCCACGATGCAAAAGCCCGACCCCCCAAAAAACAAGAGCGGCCCACCCAGAAACAACTTGCCTAACTAGGTCCTCCAGTAGAGAGGGTAGAATAAGTTGGTACCAACTATGTTCTGTAGTTGTTTTTTAGCAGGGGAACCCTCCCCCAAAAAGGGCAAAAGGGCACCACTGGGGGACCTAGCTGATGTTGGCCCCAGATGAATTTCAACCAACCTGTTTATTAATAGGGTGTCCAGACCCAGTTTAGAAGGGGGGGGTGGCAACCTGGCTTGGGGCATCAGACCACTTTTGGAGTGGTTTTCCCCCGAAAAAAAAAAAAAACCGGGCGGGTGGATTTATATGGTTTCTATGGGGTCAATTTGTTCATTGCCCTCCAGTCCTTTGATGTCTCTGAGGACAAGGACATTTGGGTCGATCCCTTTGACTTCCCGACTCGGACGCCTCGAAGGAGCATGGCATGGGCCAAGCGGAACGAATCTTAGGTCTTTAGAAGAGGTCCCCTTGTGTGGATGGGTTGAGGGGGATGTAGCTTGAAATTGAAACTTGTCTGAACCGTATATATATATATTTACATATAAAGAAGATATGTATTTCCACCTTCTGTTCTCAAACTGGGGCCTTGGGGCTAAAAGTGCACGCCGCTCTTATTTTAGACTCCTCACTTGATTTGTCCTGCCTATGTCACACGTCCATTCTGCTCTCTCCAATTCCTCTCTCTCCCTCTCTCTAATTTTGCTGAGACCACTCGGCCAAACATCTCTGTAGAGATGTAAACCGGCCAACAAAAGGCCCCAGTGCGTGGTTGGTTGCCTGCAAAAACAGAAACTTGCAACGGATTTGTCGTTCTGAAGGATTCCTTTTTCAGCTTGCGCCATTTGGGTATGTCTTGTTTTTTTTTGGGGGGGGGAGCCTTTTGGGGTGGTTTTAAAGGGCAACCAAAAGGTTGGCCACTCATTTTGGGAGCCAAATCCTAGAAGATGAGCCATTTGTTCGGCGTTTGCCAGCTTGGGAGCCGTGATGCTTCGGAGTCCGATCATTGAATCGCAAGTCGTGGAGTTGGCTCTCTTCCTGAGCGGCTTGGCGAGCAAACCGTCTTTGACCCCTTGGAAAAATGGTACAGTTCCCTTAGGCAAGGAGACTCAACCACAAATTCGGGAGAGTTGTGCCATCTACTCACTTCCTGAGCACCAAAGGGACACCCAAGAGCTTGCAAAGACTTTTCCTGCTGCTTGCTGTTTCAGGCGACTGTGATGTCGAGTTGCAGATGCGAGGGGGGAGGGGGTGGGCAGGGGAGGGGGGTAATGCTAGCGTTATGAAAGGCTTGCACGCACACACACACACACACATGCCAATGCACACAGGTTCATGCAGGCCACGCCCCCAGATATGCACATGCACATGGATACAGCCCATGGCAAGAAAACGTTGCTCCACTCTGATGCAGCGCCGGCATGGCCCCTGTTGGTTGCACATGCCGGCCAAACAAAAGCGTCTGGAGACCCGCCATGTAAATCACATATGACTTTGCTAGAAGAGTCTCCGTGCCAAGGGGAGCGCGCAAGCGCCACGCTTGCATCATAGTGGGGACTCGATGTATAGACAGATGGTGGCAATCATTGCAAGACTATACCAACTCAGCTTCACCCCAAGAAAGAGGAAGAAGGCAATCCCAGCACCCTCCAACTACTGCCCAGGGGGCAGTAGATAGAACTTTCAGAAAAAAACAACCGTCGTTAGAAACAAGGACTGCCAACTGTTCTGTTTGCCGGATGCCCAGAGTCTAACTACTGCTAGGGGTGGCAGCAAGTGCAGCAAGCACCTCGCAGCATGTCACCCGGGTGTCACTACGTGTCACCTGCGTGTCACCCCTCACTCGCGTGTCACCCCGTGGCACGTGCGTGTCACCCTGTGTCACTTGCGTGTCACCCCGTTTCACCCAGTGTCACCTGCGTGTCACCCGTGTTGTCCCCGTGTCGCCCCCGTGTCAGTATGCCAGAACAACAGTAGATCGCTGCGAACAACAGTAGCTTTAGCGTGTCACCCCGTGTCGACCCGTGTCGCCTGCCTGCGTGTCACCCCGTGTCGCCCGTGTCACCTAACCGCGTGTCGCCTGCGTGTCACCCCATGTCGCCTGCGTGTCACCCCGTGTCTCCTGCGTGGGGAAGGGGTAGGGATGTAAGCTTGTGTTTTACTGTTTGGGAAAGAACGTGAAACAACCGCAGATCGGGCATCTACTGTCTTTTATTTCATTTTCGGAACTACTGCTAAACAGACGGTAGTTGCGAAAATAACATGTTTGTATTAAAAAAAGTAGTGGGAGGGTGCTGGTCCAGATTTGTTTCGATACATGCAGTAACAATGCAAAACAAATTGGGTTTTGAATCATTTATGCAAACAAAAAACAATGCTGTCCACCAAGCATGAGCCAGAGATGACAAATTCCAGAAAAGCCAGGGAACAACACGTTTGACACAGCTTTCGCCTCCAGGTTTTTCAACAGCCTATGACGCATTTGGAGGGTGCGATAAGCCAGACGGAACCGAATCGGTGATGTTACAGTGGGGAGGGCGGGGAGCTTTTTGGACTTCCAAGGACTAACAGTGCCTAGGTTGTATTCCAGGTTTATCATGTTCTTACGGATCTTGCTTGGCAAGAGGGGTTTGCTTTAGGACACAAGTTTCCGCAGTTGGATGGCAGCGAACTGGTTGAAAAGGACCACCCCACGACTTCTTGAAGTTTGGACAGCTCTGATGTGGGAAAAATGCAGTCGTTGGACCTCATAATTGGGCCTTTTTGGTAGTTTTGATTGGACACCAAAAGGAACATCGCCAGTTTGTGGGGTCCCCCCAAAGACACACCCAATTCAACGAGAAGTCATGAGCGCTCCTTTTTAACTTTCCCGCAGTTTTCGACGCGGCAAAGCACGCCTTCGGGACAGCGGGGAAGTATGGTGCGCGTTCTTGGGTGTCCCAAAGCGCAAAGCTCTACCTTTCCCCATTGGGAAGACTTCTCCTCAAATGAGCCAGACGCATGTGAAGAGAACGGGTGAAGAGAATGTAGGATAGAAAACTTGCTGGTGTTCAGAAGGGAATGACCCAGGGTTTTGAGAATGAACCTTTAAACAAATAAAAGGTTCATAGGGACCAGCAAGAAAAGTGAGTCTCCTGCCAAAACATGCTCAATTTGGGGGTGCCCTCAAAGCGTGGCAAAAGAAAGAAAACACCGCAGCGCGATGTCTCCTAGAAAAGGCCTCATTTTGCAATTTGGCTGTGGGACACAAATGGGTACCCAAAATGGAACCCTGATAAATGGAACCAAGGACTAAAACCTGCGGTTTGTTGGTGGTTAAATTTTGACCCATACCCATTTGAGCCCGCTCTTCTGCCAAAAGGGTAGAAAGGGAAACCCCGGTTGCCTGTGAAGCCCGGGAGATGGACACTTGCTGGCGGTCTAAAATCAGGTGCATCTCAGCTTTTCAACCCTTGGAATTAAACTCTGCTAAAATGAACAGAGCCAAAAACCAACACAAAACAAGTCACATGCCAAGAACAATGACTTCCAGGAAATATGTATATATATATATATATGTCCAGTAGTGATGAATTCCTTATACAACCAACAAGGGAAAATAATACTAATAATAATAATAATAATAGTAATAATAATAATAATAATAATAATAATAATAATAATAATAATATTAATAACCATAATAAATAATAATAATAACCAACATAATAAAAACAACAAAAATAATAGTAGTAATAACAATAATAGTAGTAATAATAATAAAATAATAATAATAATAATCATAATAATAATAATAATAAAAATAATAATATAATAATAATAATAATAATAATAATAATAATAATAATAATAATAATAATAATATTAACAAAATAATCATCATATCAATAAATAATAAAATAAATGAATAATTAAATAAATAAATAAATAATTAAATACATAAATAAATAAATACATAAATAAATAAACAAACAATAATAACAAACTAATAAGCATAATAATAATAAATAAATAATAAACACACAAAAACAGAACATAAATCAATAAATAAATACACAAATAAATAAACAAATATGATAATAATAATAATCATATTAAACAATCATAATAATAAATATTACTAAGCAAATGAAGGGTGAAGTTGGTGAGTGCCTTTTTCCCAGTGGTTGCTCTAGAGTCTTGCAGCTCCACTGTTTCCGAGCCGCTTCGGCCCATGGATGAACCTCTGTGGGGACAGGGGTCACCAATTGGACGTCCTCTTCAAAAGTGGCTTCTTCTGATTCCTTCTTTCTTTTCTTTTCTTTGTGGGTTCCTCAAAATGGCCCCGACCTTGGGATCCAGATGCATACACCTGAACATTGCAACTTGCAAATGGTGGTGTCCAACTGTATTTCGGTACGGAAAAAGCACCATGTGTCCAATGGTTGCAACTTGTATCTTTTAAGGAGCCCTGACAAATCTTTACGAAGTGAAGCGGGGGAAGAAACAAACACGGTGTTCACGCTCTTGTCCTACACTCAAATGGTGTTTGACTCTAAGTGGTGTTGGATTTGGTCCATCACCAGAAACACTTCGTCTTGGAAAGGAAGCTTTTGAACATTCCTAGGAGTAGAGAGGTTTGAATAAGGGCACCCTTTTGCTGTAGTTTATTTTAGTAGGGGAACTCTCCCAACCAAAAAAGGGTGAGAAAGGGCACCTAGCTGGGGGACCCAGCAAATTTTCCTCCTCGGTTGAAGGTGAAGGTTGGAGATGGCCTCAAACTCTTGCCCATGGGTTGGCAACCAGAATCTTACGGCATTCAATCTAAGAAAAACACGGCTCCACCATTTAGTCATTGGCTCTGATTGGAAACACCATCCATTCAATCATTTGGGTATGAAAGCTTCCCTACCAGCTATTATCATGGAATCCTGACGTTCGCGGGGCCTTGAAAGAGAATGTTCTTTCTAAAGGGACTCCCCAAGGTGAGGTTCCATGTTGACTGGTGGGAGGGTAACCACACAATCCACTCAACATGTTTGAAAAGCCGCGTCTCATCAAAAGTCATAGGCAGTTGCCTCTACGTCTTTTCGACAGTACCCCTTTTGATGGTTGGTTTCAGGGGACACCATTAGCAACACCATTTGATTGGTTTGGCCCCCTTTATTTTTTGGCACATTTCAGAAACGCGCGAATCAATCGGAGTTATCTTTGCGACCGTGTTCGAACCCTTCACATGCCGCTGATTTCTCTTGAGCTTCTCCGGTTTGAGGCGTCAGCTTGGGCATCCAGGGGAAAGAGCTTGGGCAAACAAACGAACAGGGAACACCTTCTGCTTGGCTGACGTTGGAAGGGCAGCCAAAATTTAAACTTTAGCAGTTAAGTGGGGATTTCCCACTAAACCACAATAAGCAAAAATGTAAAATGTTTCCCAACAACAACCAT